TTTGGCAGTATAAAAATTACACGCCGAAGAATAACCACCCGCATTCTAAAACGTCCCTTCACTCAACGCTTCACCTGAAGAAGCCGATGGGAGCGCCGTCTCTAGGCACGGCAAGTCACTGCATATCAGCGATAATCTACTGCCATTCTTTAGTAGCGCAGCGTCATTTTCAGCCGAGCGGTGGCGCAGTGATCAACTCTGTCAAGGGAAGGATGGAAGTCGAGTCGAGGAGCGTTTGTGAATACTGGGTTAAGGCTCACATCCGGCGCTCTAGCTCCGCTGTCGACGGTAGGTGGCGCGATGTTATGACGTGGACCCACAGTCTGGCGTGCGTAGATTTGTGAGATTCACTGCACACTTCCTGTGCATTTTCACGTGCACCAATCGTCCGCAAATGTCGATGGGTGTCGGCGAGATTGGCTGATATACCAGAAAAAAACTTTGCGCTAAGCAGGAATTCCTGTGTGTGCGTGTTCTGTGCATTTCGTCGATCGTAAACGCATGGAACAGTGTCCACCAGCGATGGTGCCCTGGAGTTAACGTTTGCAAAAGGTGAGAAAACAATATATTTTCTACCGGTACTTCGGCAGTTCGAAAAAAACCACATTTGTAGTATAAATAGTACCGTAAGTGTTTCATTGGGGACTCTCGAGTTATGGTGAAAAAGCTACGAAGCTTTTATCGGACTCTGTCCCTAGGATTTTGCCGAACCTGAGTGGGGTGCGTGTACGCCTTGATATCGTGGGTGATATTTGGTACGGTTGTGTCGCTGCGAAAACTTTGCGCTTGAGCCCAGGTTTCATTCGTGCTAGCGGTGTTTAAGACACGATCATGGACGTGTTCAGGGTTCCTCTTTAGGGACAGCGTTAAGGGAAGGGTAGTTGGAATGGCTCGGAACAACACTGGAGCAGCACTGCTCTTAGCAGTGCACTTAACTCTCCTAATTCTCTGCACTGCACTTAACAAGCGAGTGTGCCGTGGATGGAGAGTTCTCATAAGCACTGACAGGTGGCGCTAATTTAATTTCACATGCTCAATTAAATTAGTATAATATATGCTGAACACCTGATAATGTTCTGTAAAGGGCTCCACCCTATAGTCTAAGATAATAGTGCCGAATTTTTCAAAGCATTGGTGTTTAGGGATCGTGAAGGCAAAATAGACTTTAAACGGGTAGAAATAACCAGGAGGGGGCTAAGTGATTGGTGGCTACAATCGAGGCGCGAGTGAAATTCAATCCTTAAACACGCATTGATAGTACTTAACGTTATGGATAGTACTTAACGTTATGGCTTGGTGGCGTCAGCCACCACCCGATCTAAAGGGCACAGCCGGATACATCCATCCATCCATGTATCGGGAATGGCTGCCCGATCAAAAGGGTACAGCCACATTCATCCATCGGGGGTTCTCAGCCGCCTCACGCAAAGCTACCTACGGAAGATTGCATACCCAATACTTCACATATGTGCCGCGTAACAATTAAGTTGCAAAGTGGAGAAGCAGTTATAGAATATACTTTATTCCCCCCGCCCCATGGGCTCGTGTATAGATTGACGCTATGTTTTTACGTTGCGGTATTTATTGTTTCATAAGATAGCGTACAAATAAAATTCGCTCCTGAATTCTTATCGAATATTGAAGATTCCTTAACCGCATACCGTTTCTATAACAATCGTGCTCGCGTTAGCGTTTCTATAGCCACCGTGCACGCGCTAGGAACCGCCACAGTCGTGCGTAGAATCACTCTCTATGCTACCTTTAGGTAGCATATCTAAAGGTCGCATATACAGTAGCTCTAGTCGTGCGCCGCCTGCAGCGCCGAAGCGGCATGATATTTTGGCAGGATTCGGCAGCACATGGCGCAGACGATGGCGTCCACTGCGCCGTGCTTTGGTGCTTTTGTCGCTTAAGGTGTTTTTGTTCCTATTTGGCTTCAAAAGATGGTAATATTTTATCAGCCACGAGAGAAGCGTGGTGTTAGCGCCGTATGCTTTCATTTTTTTCCCATATTCTTGCACTTTCATGACCCGCAGGTCGCGGGATCGAATCCCGGCTGTGGTGGCTGCATTTCCGATGGAAGTGGAAATGTTGTAGGCCCGTGTGCTCAGATTTGTGTACACGTTAAAGAACCCCAGGTGGTCGAAATTTCTGCAGCCCTCCACTACGGCGTCCCTCATAACGGTGGTTTTGGGACGTGAAACGCCACATGTCAATCATTCTTGCGCCTTCAGGTGAATTCTTGCCAAAGACGGCAACGGAGGTGACGAGCCTGTTGAGGGAAACTGCACGCGCGAGGGCGTGTCGCTTCGCTCACCGAACGATTATCGACCCTCGGGAAAATTGCTTCGAAAGTTTGAAAAAAAAAAACTAGGAATATCACTTACTACTCCAAATATTTTGTCTTTTGGGGCCGCTTCATTAGGACACAGCGACAAGAACATCTGCGGGCCTCTCTGCGAATTCCTGTGTAACGCAAGAAGATGAGCCATTGATCAGCTCTCGATTTTCACTAGCCAATCTAACATTTAATATTTAGCTGTTACACTGTAATGATTTAATCTTCAGAAAAATTTCATATAACGATTAAACCTCAAATATTCAGCAAATTTTATTATTTATCTTCTTTACCCCCCCCCCCCCCTTTTTTTTTACATTGTGCCAAATAATTTCGCAGTCAAAACAAGGTAATCCTATTCCCCTAGCCTGGAAAACCTAAAGGTCTCGACTTGCAATAAACACCGGCTTTTCTGGCCAATCCCCCTTAGTGGGCGAGAGCCTCAAAAGGAAGGATCAAGCAAGCAAGCAAGAATTAACCAGTTTCATTATCCTGACAGGTCTACATAATTATATACGTATAAAATCAGATTATTGCTCTATTCTAAGAATAAATTCGTTTATGTAAATATTTGTATGCATTACATTAAGCACCACACTTTCCTAGGCTATCGGTAATCTTTCTGTTGAACCTCCATCATTCCAAATCTGAACAGTAAATTTTGAAACCACTCGATTCTTGGCCAATCCCCCACAGTGGGTATGCGCCACTTACAATAGGAGAACAACAACAACAACAACAACAACAACAACAACAACAACAACAACAACAACAACAACAACAACAACAACAACAACAACAACAACAACAACAACAACAACAACAACAACAACAACAAAACCATCGGGTTGACGCGGCAGCAAACTGGCTGGCAGCTTGAAACGGACGACAGCAGCGATGGCCCCGTCATGGCCGCTGCAGGGGCGCTATCGTGGAGTGATGCCTTATGTCATATGCTACGCTATTCGTATCGTTCAACACTCGTGGCTGGCTGATCGTGTTGCTTATGTGGATGTACCATCGCTCTCACCACTGGCCGAGCACGAAAAGCATCGGCATCAGAAAAAGGCGTCGTCCCGCGATTGGTCCCCTGAGCGAGCGGTTGAGAACATCATTCCAAATTTGCGCTCCCTGCCGCTAGAGGCGCCTTAATGAGTTACGCATAAGCAGTTACGCATAAGCATTGGGGCCTTGCGTTCATTCGCGCCTTATTGCGATGGTCACTTAACGTTGCTGTTTGTTACAGGCCTCGAAGAGGTTTGTAAAAAAGACTGTCACATAAGCCAGGGGTCTCAAAAACGTGAGCAAGTGTGCCGGCCTGCTCTCAATAATCTTGGTTGGTTGGTTGGCCCCTAGATGCCTGGCTCAACCCACCGTGGAGGATCGGCTATGAAACGGATGGTACCTTATGTTAGAAATAAAGCGATTTAACAGCCGAATACGTTTATACAGGGGCGTTTTTTTTTAATAAACAAATTGGTAGAACACGGATCAAAAAGAAAATAAAGTAAAAGAAAACAAAGGCCAACAAGCTGATGGGGTTGAGAATAAAGTGGGTTTATGCCTAAGTATAGCGTTTTATTCGTTTTGATTCTCTCAGAAAATCAAATACGGCTTCGTGGCTAAAGCCCTTTTCAGATGCTTCGACGATTGTTTCTGAATTTTTGCTTTATTTTCACTTTCTACACAGGCGTGAATGCTCGTTAACCTTTATTTTTGAAGCGAGAGGGACCTAATGAGGTCACCGTGTGTTAAAGCAAAAAAAGCGGAACATAAGTTTTGTATTTCAGACTCGCCTTCTATATTTGAGACACCCCGGAGACTGATATTGATATTTTTCTCGATTGCTGACGTCAAATACTCTTCATAAGTAACCTTTACATTAGATAAGGGAGAGGCTTCTTTGCCAGTTTTATTTAAGCTTTCCCTCCTCACCTCCCCCCTTCCCCTTTGTGCCAGCTCTAACCTTCTTCAGTGTCCCTGCAGATCCCGATCTGCAGCTTCGTCTTCCCCCAAAGATATCTCGAGCTGAGGAGACTCTTCTATGCCGCCTGTGGCTTGGAGTGGCCTTCACGAACGCATACTTTTATCTCATTGGGATGGCCAGCTCTCCTACATGCACTTACTGCAGTTGCGAAGAAACCATCGCGCACCTTCTGTGTGAGTGCACCCATTTCAACGCGCAAAGACAAGAACTCACTGCAGCTCTGGATAGACTAGACGATCGGCCTTTGTCGGAACAAAGGATTCTGGGTCATTGGCCGAGCCCATCCTCAGCCCAGAAGGCTTTGAAAGCTTTGCTGCGCTTTTTGCGGACAACTGGCCTCAGAGACAGACTTTAGTGTCTTATACTCTTTGATGTTGCCTTTCCTCTGTCGCAATTTGTTTTGTAACTTCTCCCTCTCTTCGCAACATTTCTTTTTAACATCTTTCATTCCCCTCACCCCTTTCCCCAGCACAGAGTAGCCAGCCGGTCTAAGAACTGGCTAACCTCCCTGTCTTTCCGCTTAAACTTTCTTCCTCCTCCTGCCCTTGTCGGAAGTAAGTTAGACGCCCCTTATGTACATGCTGTAAAGATGTTCTTGTTCAGTGTCACAGTCCTTATATACAGACTGTCAGATGGGCATGTAGAACAAAATAAACACGCATTTCAGATAATTTCTTAAGAACATTGTTTATTCTTTCTGTTCGCTCCTTTTGCCTGGATATATTCAATTTCCCCGCCAATAATGGTGTTTGGCATTTCCTCCTTATTTATATAGGAGTACGTGAATGTCTTCTTTACAAGTAACCTGGCATATTTCAGGTGGCGCGCGAAGACCGCCCGTCGCTTATCATTGTACATAAGGCGTCTGTTCCAAGTTCTTCATAAGGTGTAAAAAGAACATGTAGTGGCCACAATTAATATACCTCACATACCGGCATTACGTTTATACCTAGACACGCGGGTCAGATAGGGAAAAACAACGTTTCCGCGATTGTTTATCGTGCTCGAATCGCAATCCTTATAGTTCGACCCTTTCAGTTCCCCTTATTTCTGTACGTGTTATATTTCTATATCTCTTATCTCTTATGCAGACTGGTTAGCAAGATGAGCAATACTGTCTTGTGGTACGTCTGCGAGGTCAGCGACATTATCGCCGTACGGAAACGATCAGTTCTTGAAACTTCAGGGAAGCGCGACAATCCCTGGAAGTGATGCATGGGTGTCGCTATCGAAACCTTTATCAGCGATGTCGACGGCAGCTGTGACATTTTTTTTTCGATGAACAGCGACGATAAGGAAAGGCGAACTCCTCGATTTCATGGGTGGTAACGTAAAGCAAAACACAGGACAAACATCAGTCAATGCCCTTTCTAATCGTTAACCACTGAGCCACCGAGGAGCACGTCTTGCCCTTTTCTAAGTCACTCGCAAACATCTTTCACACGCGTGTTTTGAAGTCCGGCTCTGTACGAAGTGCTCTGCTTGTGGTCGACTGAGTCGGGAAGCCAGGAGGTCAGGGCGGGGTGCAGTCTCCCGAGGGAACTACGTAACTCTTGGCGAAGCTGAGGGTGTCCTTGTAGAGGTGAAGATTGGAGCCCACGAGTTCGTTCTGCCTGTCGTAGTTGTAGTCGCCGCACAGTCCGCACACCTTGCCCCGGTAGAAAGGCGCCACCTGAGAAATCGAGCGTGGTGCAAAGAAGCGCGAGTGTTTAAAACACGCAAAGATTTACAAGTTAGCCTCAGTATTAACGCGTATAAAGAGTTTTTAGTGGAACTACTGACTCTCTGGACCAAGTTATTAAACAGAAAATGCTTTGAGTCCCCGTTGTAGGTCGCCTTCAAGTGACCTTGAGTTAGATGCCAGCGTCGTTATTCGGACACCGAAAGCGGGAAATCCGGGAACATGGACAATATCGTCCAGGCCATCAGCGGAAAAGTTAAAAAAAAACAGACAGTTTTTGGCTGTGGATCCTTCGTACATGACCGCGTTAGATACCCTAGCTATACGGTCAAAAAACAATTCTACCACTGAAATTGTAACTTTTTGTGCGCTCGAAGCTTGTTTGTAACGGAAATTCGCTTACAATTGCAATTCCAGACACATCAAATATTTCGTGTTTCTCAATTAGACAGAGCTCATACGATGCGCCTGCAGCATAGCGTCAATTAAATTTCGTGTTAAGGGATGAAAACGCACTAGCATCAACATCTGGCTGATGGTTTCATTCCAGTCTCGAGTAGTTCAAATATCTCTTCTGTGGCTAAACTCTGCTAAACTTAAGTATTGAAAATGAGTTCTACGGAAACCCACAAGATGGCAGGAGGAGTTTTGCTAAGCTTAACTTCAAAAGAGAGAAAAAATGAAGAGGTCACGTTAACTATGGCAAGTAATATATGAGGTGTGTTGCTGCCAACTTTATCGCTGTGCAGACGGATTAGACGACGCAATCTGCTCGTGCAAGGCAATTACTGGTGTGCGTGTTCCTGCGTGATGTCATGACCGTGTTAGTCCCGGGGGTGAGAAGTACAAACATTTTTTCGATATATGACGATAAAGATCTGAGGGAGGCTCACGAAGATGGTTCAGCTTAAACGAAGGACAACGCAGCGTGCCATGGAGTGGAAAATGCAAGGCGTAACCTTAAACAAGGAGAGAGCAGAGTGGATAAGAGAAAAAAGGTGTTAACAACATTGTAGTCAACATCAAGAAAAAAAATGAGCACAGGTAGGGCATGCAGTTCGAAGCCAATTAAGATAACATTTGGGCCACTAAGAGTAACAGAGAGAATTAAGTGAGGGTGCGAGGAGGAGACGGAAGGTTAAGCGAAAAGACGAGGTTAAGGCCCGTATTCACAAACCAACTTCAACGTTCCCTCTAGTTTTCCTCTTCGGTTTTAAGCCGTTGTTGCGCTTGCTGAACAAAGTAAGCTAGTATACATGTACCAATCTCGTTGCTATATTTCACCCTGTTACCATTTCTGTGCACTTAAAACGCACGTAGAGAGTACAAAAACTTGAGGAAAGCGTGAGGAAAGGCCAAGATTGGTTTGCGAATACAGTATAAGAATTTTTAAGGTCGAGGAAAACGGTGCTTGCAGCAAGCATAATACTACCGGGACGATAGACGAAACTCGGCAGATGTCCTTGCCCTGTCAGCCTTATCGTGATGATAATGAAAGATCAGATAGTCAGTCGTTGATGCGAACTAAGTGTTAACGTGGCAAAGTGTACGCTCACCTGAATGAATAGGACTTTGCTGTTAAAGAAGACGTCGAGTCCGTAGGACTTGGAGAGCAGCTCGTACATGCCGATCTCCTTCGAGACCGTGAACAGTTCGGCTCCAGCGACGTTGTGCGCGTATGTTTCGCTGTCGCTGACGGCTACCGCGGCGCCGTCGACTTTCACCACGGGCTGGACCCCGTCGCCCGCTGGCAGGACCTCGATTTCCGTGTTGTGTATGAATATCTTCAGAGCCTGTTGCGGTCGTTATGACAGAGGCTCGTTATAACACAACAAAAACTTTCTCAAGTTTTCAAAGGTTATATCTATCCTAATATATCATTCTTTTTTACCGACAGAAACATCTACTTTCCTATGAAATTTTGGTATCTCTCGCTGACACACGATAACACGTTGTTCACAAATTGTGAATATACACCAGCTAGCCCAAAACTACATCCTTACATGTTTGCACACAGCAAATGACGAATGGTATATAGAGCCGCCTATGAGTTCAAGAATGTTTATCATAGTAGCAGTGACGTGGCACGAACACTTCCTTTCTTCCTTTGTTCCAACTGCAACTTACTACTGAAGACTCACCCTCGAGAAAGAAGGATTGGACAGGGACCTTGCCAAGACGACGAACCTCCTATTGACAGAGCAGTCGCGGGCCACCACCTCGTAACAGTCAGTCTTGGGCAAGTCTACAAGGACGCCATCGAATGTCCTGGCGCTGTGACCTTGAACGTCGCAGTAGCCTAAACAGGAGCGAACACGCGGGTCGTGAATGTTTGCCAGGCCGTACGCGATGACACTTTGGTATTGAGAAATAATGTCGTTGTGGTAGTGTTATAAAATAAAACCAGTGGCATGATGGCGTATGGTTCAAACCTCCCTGCACAGGTAACCTTTTGAAGTTCTATATTATATACACATATCAACACGCCCCGGCACGGTGGTCTAGTGGCTAAGGTACTCGGCTGCTGACCCGCGTGACGCGGGATCGAATCCCGGCTGTGGCGGCTGCTTTTCTGATGGAGGCGGAAATGTTGTAGGCCCGTGTATTCAGATTTGGGTGCACGTTAAAGAACCCCAGGTGGTCAAAAATTTCCGGAGCCTTCCACTACGGCGTTTTTCATAATCAAATAGTGGTTTTGGGACGTTAAACCCCACAAATCAAATCACATATCAACATAGAAAAAGCTTGAATAAACGCGTACTCCCCCACTCTTACCACTGCATGTTCGCAAAAAATTCTGACTAGGCACCTGTTCTTGTAGATTGCCGAGCTTTTTACGTTAAAGAATGTTATGAACTGAGTGGCTGCCGTTGCGTTTTCTTATATTTGGAAAATTTACTCTTTTGTTATTTCAAGACTTTTTTTCTTCTGCTAACTGATTATTTTTTAGAAAAATTGTAAAACGAAAATCACCAAGGAAAGTAGGCGAAGTGAGAGAGCTTGTGTTTATAGACGTTCTCTCGCCGGTGTTCCTTGGTGGTTTCTCTAACGGTATCGGGAAGCTCGCGAGAAGTTCGAAAAATTGAAATGATTGAACTTTACATTCCCGCCCACTCCGCCTTTACAATGTCCACCCCAAAATTGTCTGGGGAGAACCTTGGTGGACATCCGGTCATAGCCATCTGTCACGCGCGTTCACGGAAGTTTCCCATGCGGTTAGGGGCGCCCTTATTGGACGGTGTTCTGCCCCAACCCACTTGACCACACGGAAAGCGTAAACACTGTAAGCAGCTAGTCCTCAACAGTGCACACTTCTCCTTGCCAGCTAGCTTTTACAGCTTGTGCACAAGATCATCGGCTGCTACGGAACGCTACGAACTGACGCAAACCGGCGTACACTGTGCCTATACGCTACGCTTGCTGCTGTGCAGACTTCGTCTGACGCACTGAAAGGAACTCACGGTGCCTGTAGTAGGGCGAGTACTCGGCCAAGTTGGTGTAGCGGAAGCCGTAGAAAATGTGCGGTTCCAGCAGGTGCGTTTTCAGGGGCACGTGTCCATAGCGGTGCGAGTGGCCACTGGCGTCGGTGACCACCACGTCGGCGTGCGGCTTCTTCGCCGAGGCCGGCACTTGCGACTCCACGTGAAGTTCACCGGATGGTCCGGTCATGTGAGAAAAGACTATCTCGAGGAAGCCCGGCTTTACGCTGTGATGCCTTGTGTACGCCAAGTAGCGCCGTAGCATGTTCGAAAGTACCTGCGCGAAGAAGCGTTTCTTTTCTTAAAGCCAAACTTTAAAGTAAGAATCTGGTAAAGTAAGAGTCTAAGAGTGACGTGACCGGCTGTATTAATGGGAACTAACAGACAACAATGGCGAGGAAAGCATGGGGGATGTTATTTGAAGTAATTGTAATTTAAATGTGAAGAAAATGACTTGTCACCGGCCAGAACCGAACCTCCGACCTTCGAATAACGCGTCCGATGCTCTACCTCTGAGCGATTGTAGTGGTCCTCACCCCGGACACATTGTAGAGTATAAATGTGCAGTTAAACGTGGGATCGTCAGTCAGTGCCTCCAGTTGCCAAATTACGGCGAGTGTGGAACACTCTTTTATTTCTGTTTTGGTTCACGTAGTACGTGATCTTATTACGAGATGGCAGCTGACCAATTATCCCTCGAATACCACCTCAACGCATCAAGTCAGCCAGAACAAGACCCTCGCCACGAAGTCATAGCTTCAATTCAAGCTTCAATAACTAAGAGAGAGGCAGAGAGAGAGAAGGGAAGTGCTTTGCTACATATTTGTGTGCAGTAGAGTCTCAGCGATGCTTAATGGATAACACTTGCCGGTTTCGGGTTCTTGTATTGCACATCGAGGACGAGCTTTCCCAGACGGCTGCTGCGGTACAGATAGTGGACGCAGTTGTGACCCAGCGGGATACCTTGCTCCTTTTCTTTCGAGCACTTGGCGTGCAGTTCCCGCAGCCTACTAACTCGCTTGGAAGCGAGTGCAACACCGGCTGCGTTGGCTTGTATGTCCTTGGCGTCTTCGTCGGTGTGCGTGTACTTTCCGTTGAAGTAAACCTGCAAAGAGAGCCGAAGCAGTGTGAGTTTGGATGGGGTAACACATGATGTTAATATGTTATGTGTCATCGCGCCTTGTTTAGCATATGCAGCGTACACAAAAAAAAAAAAACTAATGAGAGTCTATCCAAAGTGCTGCCCTGTGTTTCGATCGGGTCACTGTCAATGTCTCCCGTTGACGTCTTGATCTTTTACTACCAAACGTTTTCACTGCGATTCGATTAGTTGCATGCTCTATCAGAACATCGCGCCAGTTGTCGTTTCTCGCGTTATTCTGTGTGGTATTGTCAGCGCCACTATAGATAATATTGTGAACTTCGTCAAGCATCATGAATCGACTAACGAACGGATACAACCAGGACAGGTAAAGCGCCTTCGTGAGTTCATCAGGGTCCTCGTTTCAACCACGTGCTGTTTGAATACGATGCTTTAAACGCTCGGTACATTTCACGCGTGACACGTTTAGAAAAGGTGTCCGATGATTTAGAGTACTTGGCACTCAACTGTGGGGGAGCATTGAGCCGTCCCTATAGAAAGCCAAAGCAACGCATGGTGGCGCTGCGACTCTGGACAGGCAGTGCCATCTTTGGCAGAAAAGTAGAAATCGGGGTTGTATATCGCGCGTTTTCCCTTCCCTCCGATGCGCTGTCGCTCGCTTACGTGCAGAAAGCGCGCGCTGCTTTTGAGTCACCTCACAATGTACCGCCTGCAGTGCGGCTTCGTTAAGATCTCTGAGCTGGACAAGCACTTTCGACAAGCGAATCGAACACAAGGAGTAAAGCTCGTTAGTCAAGTTTATGATGTGGAGCAGACGACGGAAGAGGAGGACGCCCGAGTCACTGCGAAATGCATTTCTCGGGTCCTCCCTGATAATACCGTGTACGACGTACCTCAAGGTAAGTCTTATGCTGCCGACATGAAGCCGCGTACTCTATCGATGTGCTGTGTTGACAATTATTGAAACCATATAATTGTTGTTTTGATGTGGCATCTAGCGGTAGCTGCAGTGTACTGTCATGTGCAAACGTTTTCGTCGTGCTAAAAAATAAATAAAAAATAAAATCTTACGGTCATGACATTAAAATGTCCGAGAAGTTTTCTAGTCGTGTTCTCCGTGCCGCGCATGACCCGCTGACGTCGTCGCGAAGCAGCAAGCTAAGTTTAACCACAGCGAATCAAGTGGAAGTGCTCTCCCTTTTTTTAGGGGCGAAGCTCCTTGTTTAGAAAAAAATTATTTACAGCATGTACAGAACACAAAGGCTTCATACCATTCCAGTAACAGGGCATATACACCTCGGCACATCTATATTTCACGACTAACATCACTACGTTACAGGGAAGACATTTGCTCTAATATACATGACAATGTTGGCATATATGTACACAAGAACTCAATGCGATATCATGATACAATGGTATAACGATAAAATAGATGCAATGAAACACGATATGTAAGAAATGAAATCATATAAAACAACTCAACGGGCGCTGCTTAGCACCAAGTCGGTACCACCACCATTAGTGGCACATACCCGAAATAGGTATAACATTTGACCTCCAAGGTGGTGCCGGTGAGAGATTTCTTCTGTGCGTTGTTTAACAATAAAAAATCGTGCTCAATGTACATGCCAATGGCTGCTAATGGGGAATGAGAGACAGGAGCATTCGGCTTTTAGTCAACGCGCACGCTGCAATCCCCATTAGCAGCCATTGGCATGTACATTGAGCACTATCGGACGAGAAAGGGTTGCTACATTATACTCGCTGAGTGTAACCTCCTTAGTTTTAGAAAGGTTTAGCGAGCGTTGAGCCGCAGGGCCATGAATACAATGAACTAGTATATACCATGAATGAATTCGAGGTGGTTAAAGGGGGGAAGCAGATACGAAGCGCAAGCCGTAAGAAATTAAAAGCTGAATCCTCCTGTTTCTCATTTCACATTAGCAGCCACTGGCATGTACATTGAGCACTATCTGACAGGAAAAGGTTGCTACGTTATACTCGCTGGGTGTAACCTCCTTGGTTTTAGAAAGGTTTAGCGAGCATTGGGCCGCAGTGCCATGAATACAGTGAACTATAGTATATACCATGAACTCAAGGTGGTTGAAGGTGGGAAGTAGACTCGAAGCGCAAGCCGTAAGAAAGTGTGCGTGTGCCACCTCTCGTTCAGTCCTTGGAATGTCCACTGAACGGCGGTGCTTCTATATGGGGAATATATGATAAAAATATGCGAGATGGTGGGACTTGGAGTGTTGAATAGATTGGACGAACGGACACACAGACAGATGCATGGATGGACGCATGAACGGACGCAGGGGCGGATGCATGAACGAACGCAGGGACGGGCGCACGAACAGACGCATGGACGGTCACACAGACGGACGCATGGACGGACGAATGCTTCGCCCCACTTTCCATCATTCACTCCGTGGATATGCTGCAATTTTTTTTTAATGCGAAGCATTTTTTAGCGAACTTCGGCGAGTTTGAGCGTGTCTATATGTCTATCTAGCCGCCTACGACTTTTAGCTCTCCTGAACGTTTCGATAATGGTATCGATACGAAACTTGGTATGGCATAACATCACTGTATGATGAACATGTTTGACTAGTCATAGCATGAAAATCATGACATGTATGTCATGAATGTCGTGATTTACATTTCATGGTCCTGCAGCTCTTGCGGTGGTTTCGTTCACAAAGCATGTTGCAAAACTGGTATGGTATGGCATGATTGCATGCCGAACGCAAGCGACCGACCCTGACATGAAAATCATGACATCCGTGTCATGTATACAAGAACCTGACTGCATGCCACGCTCGTGATGCGCTCAAGGCCGTTGCGCTAGCGTCACATATACCAAATTTGGTATTACGGTACGTGAACGGATGACGAATGTAAGTGACTGGTGCAAACATGATAATCATGAGATGCGTTTGATGTAACAACACGACTACATGCCACGCTCATGATGCGCTGGCGGTCGTTTCGCTAGCTTCACATGTAGAAAACTCGGTATTACGCGACGCGAATGGACGACATAGGGAAATGACACATCCAAACATGATAATCATGACACGCGTGTCATGTAACAACATGCCTACATGCCACACTCATGATGCGCTCGCGGCCGTATCGCTAGTTTCAGATATGCCAAATTTTCTATTACGCCACGTCAATGGATCACGAAGGTATGATACTTGTGCAAACATGATAAACATGAGATGCGTGTCATGTAACAACATGACTACTTGATACGCTCATGATGCGCTTGCGGCCGTTTCGCTAGCGTCACATGTAGCAAACTCGGTATTACGCGACGCGAACGGACGACTAGACATGCGTGGCATGTAACAACATGACTACGTGCCACACTCATGATGCGCTCGCGGTCGTTTCGCTAGTTTCAGATATGCCAAATTTTCTATTACGCCACGTCAATGGATCACGAAGGTATGATACTTGTGCAAACATGATAAACATGAGATGCGTGTCATGTAACAACATGACTACTTGATACGCTCATGATGCGCTTGCGGCCGTTTCGCTAGCGTCACATGTAGCAAACTCGGTATTACGCGACGCGAACGGACGACTAGACATGCGTGGCATGTAACAACATGACTACGTGCCACACTCATGATGCGCTCGCGGTCGTTTCGCTAGTTTCACATATGTCAAATTTTCTCTTACGTGTCGTCCATGGATCACGAAGGTATGTGGCTGGTGCAAACATGACAATCATGAGATGCGTGTCATGTGAGAACATGACTACATACCACAGTCAAGGCGCCAAAACATTACGACGTGACGCGGTGCGCGTGCTCGCCGGTGTTCATTTCGTCGCGTCACGCCGGTGTTGCCACGCCGGGCGCCGGTCTTGCCATACACTCGCAGGCGCGCGTCGCGCTGGGTTGCTTTGACGCGTGCGCGTTTTAGCGCGTCCGGCGCCCCTCCGTCACGAAAAAAGGAGACGCGGTGCTGTCTGGGCATAAATGACGTGAATAGATGACGAATGGAAACGACACATCCAAACATGATAATCATGACACGTAAGTCATGTACGGCATCATTTACCTCCACCTGCAAACATTACGCTGATCTTAGAGTGACATATCAACCTTCCTCATTCGTGCTTCGCATATCATAGATTCCCATTGTACGTGGGATCTACCATTTTTTTTTCGGCTATCGTGTCATGTTTACTCTGTCGTTCGCGAACGAGGCGGTGTTCGCCGGCTGTGACTTGCTGGGAAACTGATACAGCTTTACGCGTGGAGAGCGTCCCTTGGTGTTGTCTGCATCGTTGTGCCAGCTCCAACACAACAATACTTCGGACATCGTCGACGCTTCCGTGGGGCCGTTGCTTCGATCGCTGAAATGCAACTTCGCACAGCGAGCGTCTCGTTCTAGCGCGCCAAGCTGACGGCGCGGCGCTGTGGTCGGTGTTCTGACGGAGACTGACATGTGGAGAATGGGCATGATTAAGAAGTCCGCACTAGAGATCTATCGAACTTTTAAGCAGGAAATTGCCAAGGAAAGGATCTATGATAATACTCGGGGTAGTTCTCTACTTTTTGAGGCCAGGACGGGAGTACTGCGAACCAAGACATATCGGGCCAAATACGAAGGGGTAGACACAGTATGCAGTGCGTGTGGAGAGGAAGAAGAAACTGCCGAACACTTGATAATGTTCTGTAAAGGGCTTCACCCTATAGTTCAGGATGATGGCGCAGAGTTTTTCAAAGCACTGGGGTTTAGGGACCGGGAGGGCAAAATAAACTTTAAGCGGGTAGACTTAACTAGAAGGAGGTTATCTGATTGGTGGCTAAAGTCAAGGCACGAGTGAAAATTAAACTCTTCACTGCAAAGTACGAATCCTCAAACTCACCTTTTAAGGAAAAATAAATAAATATAGTTTTTGGTTCATTAGGTATTACGGCTTGGTGGCGCTAGCCACCGCCCGATCTAAAGGGTACAGCCATATCCATCCATCCATCCATCCATCCATCCATCCATCCATCCATCCATCCATCCATCCATCCATCCATCCATTCATCCATCCATCCATCCATCCATCCATCCATCCATCCATCCATCCATCCATCCATCCATCCATCCATCCATCCATCCATCCATCCATCCATCTGATGGCGTCGCACGCGCTCCCGTTTCGGCGAAACACACTCCCTCGCCTGCGGCCTCTCCCGCGTCTCTCCTCAAGTGTTCCGGAGCTCGCCACCAGGGTCAGGCGCGGCGTTGTCGTCGCTCCGCAAACACGAGCTTCGGGTCCCTATACAAAAGAACGAAGCCCGAACACGCAACGGCAGTGGAGCGAGGAAGAGCCAAGTGGTATTTAACAAAGTAAGGTGTTTTCGAATAGGGACCCCAAAAGGTTGGGTTCAGTGTAGTTTGGGGCCCCGAAGAAATAGCTTCGAGGCCACTTCGCATGCGCAAACCCAAACCGCGCTTGGGTTTTCTGTTGGGGACGCTATTTCTCGAATCTAGCGGGAGCCCCAAAGCCAGCCCCAAAAGCTTTGCGTCACATATACGTGATATCACCCGCTGAAGTGACGTGGCCGAGCATTGGGTGAGTATCCAATGCGCCGCAGACCCTTTTGGAAAATTGTTCACTCCTGCTTGACCCAAATCGTGCACACGCAGAGGGCTTTGGGTTGAGGGTTCTGTTCTAGGTCACTCTACTTTGGGGCCTCTATTCGAAAACTCCCTGATGTGCTACGTTTTCATCATTATCATCATCAGCCTGACTACGCCCACTGCAGGGCAAAGTCCTCTCCCATGATCCGCCTTTCAACCCGGTCTTGTGCTTTCTGCTGCCACGTTTTAGAGTACTTTAAGAGTACTTTTAGAGTACAACGATTGTACGTTTAGATCAGTGTTTAACGATTCCGAGTACTGCGTACTTAACTATGGGAGCGCTGTGAGCCGTCCCGTGAACAATTTAGAGTACTCGGTATTCTACTATGAGAGAGCGTCACTCCGTCCCGTTGGCTTCACACATAGTGAGGTCTGTGTGTTTAGAAAAAGAGGTTAACGATTAAGAGTACTTGATATACTCTACAATGAGAGAGCCGAAAGCAGTTCCTGTAATTAATGTCATAAACAAGACCGAACAGCCGTCCAGCTGCTATAGGTCTGTGAGGGCTTCCATACTAAACGCCTCGGTCAGGTCTTGTGTGTTTAGAAAAAGTAAATAACGATTTAGCGTACTCTGTATTCTACTATGGGAGAGCTGAAAGCCGTCCCATGGGTCTTACATCGTATCAGCAGAAGCTTCGAATACGAACGGGGTCCGTGTATTGGACCTCCGGTGTGTTTAGAAAAAGTGGGTAACGATTTAGAGTACTAGGTACTCTACTATGGGAGAGCTTAAAGCCGTCCCTCCTGTTTAGAAAAAGTTTATTCTTTCATGGGACGCAACAAACCTAAGAGACAAGCGTCTGTATAACAGGCACAATAACAAACAAAAGACAAAGCACAACATACACTACACATTTAAACTAAAGTGTCCAAGTCCGTAGGATGTCCATAGTCCGTTGTACTAACTGTACATATACTACGTAAATGCACTAATCACAATATGGACAATGTACATGATGATATATGTACAGAATTTACAAGACTTGGTGAAGATGAACCGCCATCAAGACGTTGTATTTTTTTGACGAGTTAATAGAGTCGTCAGCGCTGTCAAGACTACCGGAATGCGGCCCCCAAAGGTGCGCTGGTTATTTATATGTTCGTTTGCGCCATCTTTCAGTGATTGATGCTTTCTCGGTCGAGAACTTTTCGGTGATCAGCCACTTCTGATGCGGCCATCTGATCTTTTATCGAGCTGACTTCTCATTTTACGTTCCGATATCCCAAAGTTACTTAGATATGAACGTATGGCCATTGCTGTCTGTAAGAACTGAAGCGTTATACGCTTCTGAGCGCCTGGTTGAAGGTCCGATTACCGGCATGTAAAAAGAGAGAAAAGTTAGGAGGGAGCATTGTGTAATGCGGTAGGAAAGCAAGGATGAAAAGAAGGTAGTGCATAAGGCAAGCTGGCGCAATCCTTCGTCTGCTCCCATTTTCCAGATAGGTCATGTGCTCGTGAATTTTTTTAATGCGATATCAATTATATGGGCAGTCTCGGCTGGTTTTTGCCGCCACCGACGCTGTCATTCACGTATACGTATATGTAGGTATGCATAGACAAATTCCACCGGACTTACGGCACGAAAATGCGGTGGCGCTGTCTTGGTAGGCAAAAGACGCTCTGCCTACCGAAGTTTCTGCTAAGTGTTCAATGGTGCCTATGGTGTTCTCAATCAAGCAACGAGAAAAAAAAACGGTATGCCGACGAGCTGCTAGCGGTTGGATGCAAGTCGCGTCTCACAACTTAGTTTTGTTTGTGGCGCTCATCGCAGCCTTCAGCGCTTATGGCGGAAGTTACGTGCGGACGTCGCTATAATTTTACCCATAATGTCGACATCGGCCTACCTGTGTTTACGAACATGGATTGGGTCTTTACGGGGAAGGATGCGCTAGCCTCCTATTTCTGCGGAGTGAACGTCTCCTTTCCGGCCGGGGTCGTCTGCCGGCGTGCTTATCTCGTGAGCGAACTAGGGAGAGGGGGGGGGGGGGGGGGGGGCTATGGTTGCCGCGCTATTGCGGGAACGATCAGCGCGCGGCTCTTGCCCCCACAGCAGGTGGGAGCCTCTACGGGCTGCGCTCTCAACACGAAAAACCGGTGCCAAAAGTGTATCTGCAGCGGCCGTCCACATATAGATGCGCTTTACACGTAACGAACTGCCACCGGCGGCGACACATGACGTATAGCCCTTAGTACCAGCATGCGCTGCCCACGAGAGGCGCTTCTCATCAACGCTCTCGTTACGGACGAGCCTTGTTGTGGTCATCTACTCTGGCCGCGCCGCAGAAAACTTGGTTACTGAGCAAGTGCATGTCTACTATAATTAATATTGCTCCTGAAAATGGTAGCCTTGCTTCGTAAAACATTCGAATATGTTGCTATCGCATTCAAGATGGGTTGATAGGAGTGCTAGTTTGTATATATTCACAATAAAATATTGGGAAAGGAAACTTTTGCTTTCATTGCTTCGATTTTCTGGTGAAACTGCGACGTTTTTTTTTTAAAGTTACTGGCATTGGGCGCTGTTTCGTGTATTAAGAGATGGGTATAAGTCGAACACGAGCCTACAAACTGTACCAGAAGTGACAGCGAGTGTACTCTGTAGACTAGTGGGCTAAGGGAGCTAAACTACCTCTATTCACTGGCAGCTACATACATTATAACTTCAAAGCAGCCTCTATTGGCAATGAATGGAAAGCGTCCCCATGTTATGATTATATATAAAAAAGCTAGGCAGCTAGTTGACTGTCTTTTTTTATAATAATATGTGATTACAATATGTGAAAGCAAGCTTGACAACATGGACACGATTTAGTTAATGCATCAATAGGTATGGCCAAGAACTCTTTTTTTTTTTCCTATGGCTCGTTTCTCACCAAAGAGTCGTCGCCGCAGCTGCTGCCGTAGTAGAGCTTCGCAAATGCCTGGACCTCTTTTCCCTGGTGGAAGGCCGCGGCTTCGGGAAGCCTCGTTGCGTCCGGTTTGGGGAATTTGGCGGAAGCTTCGAGGCATATCTGGAAGCAGTGGCCGAAGCAAAACAGCTCTAGCATAGCCGCCACTCACCTATTCGTCTCCATTGACGTCTCCGAACACAGGTTTATCTTTAAGTCGAAAGCCTTAGATGGCCTCATCAAATGCGACGAGTGGCCGTCGATATCAACACGAGTGGTGCAACGAATTACGATGTAATGACGTCGCCCCATGATGCCGTATTGACGGCACATTCCTGCCAAATTTGTGACACCTTGAGATCGCTTTAATGCATGACGTTACAGATAGCCAAAAAAAATGAAACGGTATTATTACGTCTCAGGGACGTTACTGAGCTCATACTTTTGGCTACAGCCTCTTGTCTGTGCCTATTCACTGGAAAAATTATTATGTCACCACATGACATCGCCACTTGGTCAAAGATTTATCAGGCTGGTACCGTAGATGCCGTGAAACCGTGAAACCGTGGGAAGTTTCGAAAGCTTTTAAGGCATTCGATCGCATATGCAATGCAAATTGCAGAATGCTTTGTGAGGAAAGAGGGGGGGGGGAGGGGTATAGCTTTACTGTTGACTGTGAAGAAAGCATTTGCTCCCGAAGAAATTTCAAAACCATGTTTCACACTGTAAGGAGAAGGGCTACAGCTTAATATAATTTGTCTTCCAACCACCTAATTTTGGTTCGTAATCTTCAATGCTAAGTAGCGCGAATGCGAATGGGACAAAGAAGAAGCCAGGTGCATGTCCTGTTCATCTGTGTTCCTACTTTGTCCTGGTCAGATTCGGTGCCCCGCTGCGGTAGTCTAGTGAATAAGGTCAACGGCTGCTGACCCGCAGGTCGCGGGATCGAGTTCCGGCTGCGGCGGCTGCATTTCCGATGAAGGCGGATATGTTGTAGGCCCGTGTGCTCAGATTCGGGTGCATCGTTAAAGAACCCCAGGGGATCGAAATTTCCGGAGCTATCCACTACGGCGCCTCACATAATCATATGGTGGTTTTGAGACGTCAAACACCACATATCTATCTATGATCAGATTCAGTCTGTTCAGTACTCTATAGAAGAAGAAGCGGGTGAGGTAATCCGTGCAACAGACCGACATGATGGTTTCCGCCTTCGAGTCTTCTTAGGCTAGTGAGACCGCGTGACATTATTATTTTGTTCTATCACTTTCTATAGCGTTGACCGTCTTATTTGATACGGAGATTGCCGGACTATCATTTTTTCTCGTTTTTTCGGCCTATAGAAATGCTTAAAGAAACACACCTTTGTGTGGTTATGTTCGGAAGGTGAGAATGGCTGCCTGTCGTAGTGGAAGAGCAACTTGTGTCGGAAGAGGTCCTTGCTGAACGAGTACCGCAGCTCCCACGAGAGCTTCTTCTGCCACTCGCTGCCCCTGTAGGCGATGTTTCCCAGCAGCGCGTGCGTGTACGGCCGCTCCCCGCCTTCCGAGGTGGGCGCATCCTCCAGGCCGAACTGCGTCAGCCTCTCCGCATCTTCCGGCTTGTAGAAGTGATGTGACAAGTCCATCTCTATCTGCAAAAAGGGGCAGATCCGAAAATTACGCTCTAGCGTACTCGAATGCCCTCGAAAATCATCGAGCTTGCGTTGTTCTATTCTCACTGTGCAATTTCACAACTGATCATCATCTTGATTTCAACTGTCCGTCTTCTTCATTTTTAACTACGATGTCCTTAACACTCTCTTGTTCCCTGGCCCACTCTGTTCTCTTACTATTTCTTACATCATCATCATCATCATCATTATCATCATCATCATTCGTTTGAGTACGCCCACTACAAGACAAAAACTTCTCCCACGTTCTGCCAATCAACCAGGTCCTGTGCTTTCTGATGTCACGTAGTGCCTGCAAAGTTCTTACCTCATATTCCCACTTAATTTTTTGTTGCTTTGTCGCTTCAACTCAAACTTGTGGAAACGAAGTCAACAACGTTGGCAGAAATAAAAATAAAGAATATTTGTCTTCATTTACCAAATTCACGGGGTCGGGCTCAGCCGGAAGGATCCTTATGCGGAAAGTTCGCGGATTCCAACGCGGGTTGACCATTAGGTGCTCGAACTTCTCCCTGAAATCCATGTCTTGAAAGAATTCCTGTATATTCGCCTTGAGGTCTTTCTTGAGCACGTATCCTTGGAAGTTCAGGGACGCCCCGATGGAGCCGTTTAGGTAGGTCCGGTCGAACTGCAACAAAGAAGAAAAAAAATTCTTGGTGTTTTCCAGGACTGAACGTCTATCTGTAGAAACACTAGCAACAATCTCCAGTCATTCCTTTCCACCCTCTTGCAGGATTCTGCTAAACGCTATCGCAATATTCGGTCTCCATGTGCTCCGAGTTGTTGAATCATTCGTCCTTGCTTGGCCAAAGGCTGGCCTTCTAGCCAGCTCCATTGATCGATCGACTGTCCCGCAAAGACATTGCTCGTGCTTTGTCTGAGATTCGAACTCGTGATCTTGTGGCGCTCAATACCAAGCCATCGCAGCAGTTGAGCAATTAGCCGTTCATTTGCACAGATGCGCCAGGCGTAATTGGGAATCCCAAAAATGCGGCTTCTCGCCGGCTGAGCGCACCGGTGGAAGTATTGCGCCAAGGTTGTGTGGTCTTATCTAGCAGGGGAGCCTAGTTTCCCTAGAATGCATGTTCTCCCAGATGGTGGGCCCGCGCGCTCGCGCCGTCTCGGGGGCCATGTATAATGCCTTATATGATTTCGCAATAGCACACAGGAGGGATATCTGGCGCTAGTATCTGTGCGAACCTCAGCGCTCTATGACAGCCTCAACACATGGCGCTTCAGCCCGCATGGGAATGACGAGTAGTACATGCATTTGCTTGCGCTTCGTTCTTTCGGCTACCGCGCGGATCTCTGCGGCCTGCAGCCGCTTAGTCGAGAGAAGAAGTTCAGCAAAAATTCAACAGCCCCACTTCACCAACTTGATCTCTTTAGACTCACGAGTTGAAATCAACTTGCGAGGTTTGCCGTGAGCTGTTTATCCGCAAGAAAAACAACAACAAAAAAAGCTCAAACAATAAACGAAGCCACAAGACTGTTCGAAACCGCGAACGCCGAGAGTAGGCAAGTCCATGTGCTGCCCTTCCTTTTACACGGGGGCTAATCGATCGCAGCGCCACAGTTGCATTTAGTAAATACGGCGGAAGGCTGTAGCGGCACCAATGTAGCGGCGAGAGAGGAAGAGACGTGAGATGACGTCGAAGGCGGCCGATGGGGCCGTGCCGATCTCGCCACTTTATTCTAGGCCTGAAGTGGAGCCACGTCGACTACCAGCTTCCGCCACGCCAGGCGCGTCAGCTCGTTCTAATTCTCGCGCAGCTCGAGCTCGCGCCAGCTGCGCGAGAGACGCGGCGCGGTGATGGAAAAAATGATGATGGTGATGATGGCACTACAGGGCTCCCCCCCTAGCGCTTTGCGCGATTTGAACGCATATGAAAAAGAAAGAGAGTGACAAATGCTATATACATGAACGGCAATCCATAAAGTGTTCATTTTGCCAGTCCTGGTTGTCAACGTTTATGGGCCATCAGTAGGCAGCGGTCTCTGGCGGGCGACACTGAGAGTTGCGCAGAGGACGCAGGAGGAAGTGCCGGGTCGCTGTGGTAGCCGACAAGCGGGTCTCACGGTGACCTGGTCGGACAGGCCGAGAGTGGACCGTGTGTCGCGAGGTCATGACAGGATGGTGGGTGACAATGTTGGCGCTGGGTGCAGAGGACACTATACTGCCGCCTGTCGAAATTAGAGCTCCCGACAGGGCCCCATGATGGTGGTGGTGGTGGTGGTGATGGTGGGCATGCGCCAGTATCTGCGGCTGCGTGAACGTCGGTATCTGCACCAGGAATTGGTGCTGGTCTGTCTGGAACGCACCCAGTGTGGGCTGGGCCAGCATGGTCTGCGTGGGCAGCATGGCCTGCAGCTGTTGCAGCGTCAGTGGCTGTCCCGGGACTATGGCAAACGAGGGGGGTGACATCATGCGTGGCAGTGCCAGAAAGATGTTGGGCCTTGGCCCCAGGTTCTGTGGAATGACAAGCGTCGGGGTGCCAGGCGGTCCTGGATGTTCCCCATGGGGCCTGGGCCCCGTCTGAGGTCCCAGGGTCAGGCCCGTGGCATGGGGTGGCCGCAGGGCCAGCTGGACCCCCTGTATCTGTCCCAGAGAGCTCTGGGACAGATACAGGGGCGCGAGAGACGCGGCGCGGTGATGAAAAAATGATGATGGTGATGATGGCACTACAAGGCAGACAATGATGACGACACCGACCAAGTAGAGATCGTCGACACCGTGAAGCGCGATGCCGGGCAGTGCCATGGGCTGGTCGATGGAGCTGCGATCGTACGAGAGATGGAAGCTGAACGGCACGAAGTGGTAGTTGAACACGTCGACAGGGGGCGGCACGGACCGCTTGACGCTCAGCTTGCGTTGCGCGGGGTCCAGGGTCAGCTGCAGGTCCAGGGGCATCGAAAACAGCTGGCGCGAATCGTATCCCGAGCCCAGCGATGACCGGTTGAAGGTGAGCGCAACACCGAGCATCTTGTACGACCGGACCTCGTGCCTGCCAGTAATATAAAAAAAAGAGTATTTGAGTCGCATTGAATGAAAGGGAAATGGCGGTGACACGAAGAGATCGCTTTATGGAAATGCCTCATTGAATGTGGTCATAAGATGCCTTGAAGATCACGGACACCAAACTGAAACGATTTAGACTGATACATTATACTCTAAAGAACGTAATGACGATGATAAAAGTATGAAAACAGCGCTTAAACACAGGACGAAGGAACGAAATGACACACTCGGCGCTGAACTTGCAAATGGTTGCAACACCGTGTGCCTAAGCGCTGTTTCATATATTTATCCCGTAAAACCATGCACTCGCCCATTGTACATGTTTTCTTGACTCTAATGACGTTAGTTTCAGCTTCATAGGCCTATTATCACCAAAGATAAGGCCAATGTACAGTGTTTAAACTTAGCACCGAAATGTCCGAATGCGACGTCACTATTTTGATTTTTCAGGGATGGTATTGGAATGCAAGTGCAAAAAGAATGCTCACACAAAGTTTCTCTTGAAGTCCACCACGAACTTGCCGTCCTCGGTGTGCTCAAAGTCCAGCTTGGCGCGGTTGCCGTAGGTGGACTCGGCCGTCTTGATGTCAAAATAAACGGGGAAGCCAACTTCGGTGGGCACGAGGACGATGAGGTCTTCGACGAGGTAGAAATGCTTCGAGTGTTCCTCCTCCCCGAGCACGTGGCCCAACGCAGCCGCCGGGGGCTCTGCGATAACGACGGCGAGTCTATCATCCACGCCACTACACATGTAAAGTTAATTTACTTACGGGGAGGTGTACTTTCATTAGAAGCTGCGAAAGTGCGCTATACTCGGAGCGCCTTCCTAATAGTGGCCTAATGAGTTACCTAATAATAATGAATGATAATGAGGCGTGAAAGTCCTAATAGTGACCTAATGAGTTACCCAATGATAATTAACGATAAAGAGGCGTGAAAGTCGTGGACTCTATCCTGGCCGCGTCGTCGGTCGAATTTAAATTGAGGCAAAATGCTTAAGGTCTGTGTTCTACGCGATGTTAGTGCACGTTAAGAAATACCAGACAGTTGAAATTCCCGAAGTTCACCTCTGAGGCGTGCCCCACTATGTCAACGGGATTTTAGCAGATTAACTTTGATTAATATTATTATGATTATTACTGTTATTATTATTATTGATATTATTATTAATTTTGTCCGACTATAGAGACAAATAAAGTTATTCATTCATTGAGACAGTGTCGTAAAAAATTGGCTTCTCCACTAAAAGTTCCTTCTGAAGGAGAAGCACGCTTTAAAGGGGCACCAAGCGTTACGGTGGTTGTCAGCGCGTCACTTAAAGAAAGCAAAGCAGTCATTGACAAGGTTGATTTACGAGACATGGGAGGCATGGCTACGCGAAACAGCCTGGGTTCAAGAGCGTCTGTTTTTGTTGTTGTTGTTGTTGTTGTTGTTGTTGTTGTTGTTGTTGTTGTTGTTGTTGTTGTTGAGGTTGTACCAAAAAATCACAGCATATCCGCGCAGTGAATAATGATGAGTGCGGCGAAGCGTCTGTCTGTCAATCCGTCCGTCCGCGCATGCGTCCAATCGCGTTCGAGAATTCAGATGGTGCGCGGGTAACACCGACGAGACGCGAGTCGAGGAAGCTGAGTGCGAGCGTCTTCAACGCGCCCGCCGCTCTGCTTTGGCCACGTACTACGGCGACTATCCAGGAGACTGCGAAGGCACTCTTTCTCCGTGAACTCAAGCACAGCCTGCGCAGCAACCAATTGAAGAGTAGTGGAACAGCGCCATTTAGAATATCCTCACTCAACTGCAGTTTGTATGTACTTATATGAGACAGCGCCGTCTGTTATATTGTTTGGGAGATACTGCCTTTTCTTTCTCGTCTCTTCTCTCGGTTACGCGTGACGCATGGCAAGCATAGACTAAGAGGAGCTTCGCCCCTAAAACAATCCTAGCTCATACCTGCGACGGTTATTTGTCACCTTGCGCTCGCTAAGGATGATAATCATAAATATTTTCTACGTCAGTGGCTCACGCCACACCCCGGTCGGCGAATTCTGTTCTTTCTCAGATGAAGAATCGCTAAGCTTTTGTTATTTATCTTCATATGCAGCTTTTATATAAAGTCTAATTATGAAAATCTGCTGAGCAGGTTTTTCTTGCAACTTTCCATGCCTATTAAAAAAATCCACGCATATCTATGAAGTGAATGCCGATGATGGACTGAAGCAGTGGGCTTCGGATCATCAACCATAGCATTTTTACTTTCTTTTGGTAATGACCGTTTTATTTTGTTTTCCATAAACTTTTGTTTTGTCATGTGTTTCGACATGACATGCGATGCGAGGTTAAATATTGGTGTTGTTAGGGTGCTGTGGTCTTTTTTGTTTGTTTGTTTGTTATGGTTAACAGCCTTTTGATAACCTTTCTGGTGTTCAGAGATATTTCGGTTTATTCACATGCACCTGTGCTAGATCTGCTGTAGACGACGGCGACACACGGACTTTGTTGTGGTCTTGAGGTGCTTCGCCCGTAAAAAAAAAAAATGTTCCACTCACGGTATGGCTGTCTCGGGTGGATGATGTATACATACGCGCACGTAAACACCAACTCTATAGTCAGTCGTGTTTGAGCTTGTGCCGTTATGTCGTTGACATTGGAAGATTTTTCTGATGACGTGAAGCAAGAACAGTCCGTAATAAATGTTTTTTCTCACCGTTAGACTGTAGCGCTGCGAGAGCTGACTCGTCAAGATGCATCAGCTTCACAGTGTGGCCAAAGAGTTGGAGGTTGAGCCGTCCGTACACTGGCTCGTACTCGCGGTCGGCGATAGGAAGCTGAAATCAAGAATATGGAGGCACAACTACAACTCCTGTATAGTGACCTTGGATCGTCATATATATATCTTAGTCTTTGGTGGTACCATAGTTCTGAGGATAACGATAGTTATGGCGCGAGAACAGAACGACGACAAAGAGACAAGAAGGACACGAAGGACTCTCGTATCCTTCGTGTCCTTCTTGTTGTCGTCGTTCTGTTCTCACGCTATAACTATAGTCATGTCATATCAACTAGCCCAAGCTGCCACACTTCATATCTCTGTGGTTGTGAGGACCACAGTAAGGACGAGAATGTGTGATTACGATCATGGACCCGATGAATTGAGAGCGCGGGAAAAAACTATGTGTTAAATGAACGTTTCTTTTTTCTCTTCTCTCTCTCTCTCTCTCTCTCTATATATATATATATATATATATATATATATATATATATATATATATATATATATATATATATATATATATATGTATGTGTGTGTGTGTGTGTGTGTGTGTGTGTGTGTGTGTGTGTGTGTGTGTGTGTGTGTGTGTGTGTTATGTACGGTGTTGTCATCGGCCCATAGACGTACGCGTTGGTCGCGGTAGTCCAAAAAGCTCAGACAGCCTCGAACGGTTAAAAACAAGTTTATTCCTATTCGGATGGAGGCGGCGGCTGAACTGTCGGGGGAAACGACGGTGGCTCGTTTGCGCCGAGCGGTGGAAGGGGAGGAGTAAACATCTGGAAGTAGTTTCAGCAACCGGTCCTTCGCGGGTTCGAAAGCTCTCTCGTGACACAGGAGTGCTTGGAACACAACATCTCCTCCCTCCTTCGCTTGTCGCTTGGAAGCGATCTGGGGGCCGCCGTGGGCGCGTGGATGCTCTGGACGCACTAGGAAGAGAAGCCTCCGCTCGCTGGGTGTCGTTTCTCTTGTGTTCAGGGCCGGTGGGTGGCGGCGCCGATTCATCTGGTGCGAGATGCCAGGCTAAGTGGAACGAAGCTTCCGTCGAGGTGGCTGCTTGAATGGGAGGTTCCCTTGGCAAATTACCTGAACGGCGTAGCTGATTAAGGTGGCGGCATGTGGCCTTTCCACCAATGTCGACGAGCCATGACCGCAAACCTATGCGTTTGAGTGCCGTCGCTTCAACCCAGCCGGGCTTTCTGTGGAACTGGCGGGCGTATATGCGCTGTCCACTTTCAATTCTCCTGCTATGCGGGAGCTTTTCTTCCTCCGACGGTGCTTTCGCTGAGGGCTCCGGGACAATTGCTGTCAGCTGGGTTCTCATTTCTCGTCCGAACATCAATTTCGCTGGCGTTTGATCAGTAGTGCTTTGAACAGTGTTGTGCTGTCTGAAGAGAAAGCACGCGATGCGGCGTTGCATTGTCCCAGTCTGGTCTTTAGTAAGGGCGCGCTTTAGCTCAGCCACGTAGCGCTCGGCTTGTCCGTTCGTAGCCGGGTGGTAAGGAGCTGATATAACAGACGAGACGCCGTTGTCGCTGTAAAACTTGAGAATCTCCGTGGACACAAACGGAGTGCCGTTGTCCGAGACCACCTTGCGCGGTAGGCCAAACGCTGCAAACAACGACCGCAGAGTGTCGATAACTGCTGCCGATGTAGTCGTAGCCATTTGTTTTACCTCCAGCCACTCGGTGTATGCGTCTACAACCACCAGGAACGAACACCCTTCGATAGGTCCAGCAAAATCAATGTGCAGGTTGTGCCAAGGCGTGTCTGGTCTTTCCCATTCAGGAATAGGGGCTCTTGGCGGGCTTCTGTGGTTGCATTGGCAAGGCTGGCAATCGTGAACTGTTAATTCTATATCATGGTCGATACCAGGCCACCACATATAACTTCTGGCGCACTTTTTCATGGCAACAATGCCTCGATGACCTGTGTGGACAAGCGACATGGCCTGTTCGCGAAGTGCCGCTGGAATTACAACTCTTGATCCCAAGGTGACGCAACCGCGATGAGTGCTCAACTCCGCAGCTCGCTTGCGGTAAGCGTTGAAGTGTTCACCCTTTAGCTTCTGCACGTTGCCTTCTTGTATAGCTGCGTAGACTTCCTTCAAGACAGTGCACTCCTGCGTTGATGCTGCAACCGCGTCAGCTGTTAGCGGAGGGTTCGGCAGCGCCTCGAACATGAGTATATCACCCGGCGGGGGTGGTTCATCTATTGTGGTGTCTAGCGGAAGGCGGCTTAGTGCGTCGGCGTTCTGGTGTTTCTTCCCAGTGCGATGTACGAGTTCGTTGTTCCCTGGTATTTCTTCGGAGAAAACCGCTTTGTACTTATCTCGAAGCTGCTCCACTGACGGATAACTGGGTGTGTGGTGAACTCCGCCAATGACCACTCCAAGGGGGTTGAACCAATTTCGTCCTAAAAGGCTTGATCCAGAACCGTGGACGACTAGCAAGGGGAGCTGATAAGTCTGCCCGTTGTAGTACACGTCTACGTTGGCACAGCCCAGCAGTGGAAGGGAATGTCCGGACCACGTTCTCAGCTGCGTGTCGTCTTGCTGGAGAGCTGGTGCGTTCTCACGCCAAGTAGCGCAAAAAGTGTCCTCGCTGATGAGCGTACATGCTGCTCCGGAATCCACCTCAAAACTGATAGGGCGCTGGTGTACCATAATTTCAGTTGTAATCTTCGGTCTCGTTCCGAGGTTCACAACGGCGTTTAAGTCATGTAGTGCCGATGACGTTAGTGCTGTTCGGCTTGTATCTTGCGTCTGGCCCTCCTGTGCGTCGACATTGTTGTTCCGTTGCACTGAAGTCTTCGGTCTGAGCTGTTTAAGCTTCGAGATGCATGCCTTTTCAATGTGGCCACTGTTATGTCCTTTCAATGTGTCCCAGTTTTTGGCAAAAATTGCAGGTCGCTGTCTTGTATCGACATACCTGAGGATCGTGCATGTCGTCGCATCGCCAACAGCGCTGTGTCTTTCTGCTTGATTTCGCCTTAGACGTGGAATGACCTGACTGCTGACTGGTGTGATGCACCGGCTCGACGTTCCGTCGAATATCCCTCTGCTGGTGACCGGCGCTCTCCGCTCGTTGGGCGATGTCGTAGGCTTTGGAGAAGGTGAGACCCGTCTCCGCGAACAGGCGTTGTTGTAGGCCTGCGTCACGCAGTCCGCACACAAAACGGTCACGCAACATAATGTCCAAGGGGAGCATACTGGTGTTAGCAGGTGTGGCAGTCGATCCTCCCTCCTGCGCAGTAGCTGCCGCTGTCGCGGTCAACGTCCCGAAATTGCAGTCAGCAGCGAGCTTTTTGAGAGCCGCTACGTATTCGGCCACTTTTCCGCCTTCCAGTTGGTCTCGCCGTTGGAAGCGGGCTCGACAGTAGACCTCCGATGGCCTTGGGTCATAGTGCTCTTGTAGCGCTGCTACGATGTCGTCGTAGTCAACGGCTGCTGGAGTGCGTGGCTGAATCAGGGCACAGACTGTGTCGTATGTCTGCTCCCCACACAGCGTTAGCAGGTTGGCCCTCTTCATTGCTGCATCAGTGATGTTGTTAGCCTCGAAGTAAAATTGCAGGCGTCCAAACCACGATGACCATGATGAGTTGTTGAATTCGGGTAGCCGACTTGGAAGCCCTGGCGTAGCCATAGCTTGTAGCTTGTCAATATCGTTGCGTAGCGTTATTCCAAAATCCACTGCCTCGTCGCCACTGTTATGTACGGTGTTGTCGTCGGCCCATAGACGTACGCGTTGGTCGCGGTAGTCCAAAAAGCTCAGACAGCCTCGAACGGTTAAAAACAAGTTTATTCCTATTCGGATGGAGGCGGTGGCCGAACTGCCGGGGGAAACGACGGTGGCTCGTTTGCGCCGAGCGGTGGAAGGGGAGGAGTCAACATCTAGAAGTAGTTTCAGCAACCGGTCCTTCGCGGGTTCAAAGGCTCGCTCGTGACACAGGGGTGCTTGGAACACAACAATATATATATATATATATATATATATATATATATATATATATATATATATATATATATATATATATATATAGTGTGTGTGTTTCCGGTGCCTTACCGCTTGCTCCACGTGCTTGCGGCTCGTCTCCGAGTCGCTCCGTGTAAAGCGCTGCCTGCCCAGAACGTTCCACAGGTTCCTGGTGGAGCCCGGACTCGGTCCCAACAGTGCGTTCACCAGCCTGTCCATTCCCCACTGCTCGAAGCTCAGCGCGAACACCTCGTACACGTTGCCGGCCGCATACGCCTGTGTGCTGGCGTAGACGCTGTGTGGCAGGAAACTGTCCTCGGAGCGAATGATTGACAGCACGCTCAGGCTACCGGTGTCGTACTGGCCTGCAAGATGAAGCGGCGATATAAAGTTCGCAAGAAGTAGGAGTTTCGATGAGTCGGTGAAGCAAGGTGTTTAAGCTATTTAAGTCAACTCAGACAGCGCAAAACGAGAAAAAAAATTGGCCCCGTATCCGCATGTTACACCGCACGCAAATGTCGTCGATAGACGATAGTTTTGCGTCTGGAGAGAGCGAACAAAACGTTTATTCGATGTCCTGCGCAAGAAAATTGGTGAATGGTATTCTGGAGGCGGTGAATGATATTCTGGATGCGTCATTTGTGCGTGAGAAACGCGTGGCACGTTTCGGTCTGATTCCATTCTGCGCGTGATTTTAAATTTGTTGCTATCGCAATCATATCTTGGGCTTTGCGGCAAATCTGTGACATTTTTGTCCTCTTCTCAAACAGGGAGTAGCTTATCGAGCACTTCGTAGCTAATTTTCTCAGAACATTCGTTGTTTCAATCTCTCTATGTCTGAATGAAGTGCAATGTGACGTTATAATTGACACAAGTGCTTCATTGCAAGTATATGTGTTTAAGCATTGGCTTTAAATGCGTAATCCGTTAACAGCGACGTTGTTTAAGGAAGCCGTAAGCTGTATGCCTTATCACGATGCGTAAACGTGTCTGTACCAAAGAAATTTGGTAAGTTCCACCACACACCACTTGTCCACTAAGAAGGAAAGTGAGAGTTAGCCAAGGAATAGTGCAATAAAGGGAAAGAACACAACCGCGTGTCTTGTAGCACGATTCCACGATGAAATCCGTACAGATTTCACAGAAATAAAAGCTTCTTAGTTGCCAAATAATCCGCCCTAGTCCGGCGTTTGAATCCGGGACGGATGTCTTTCTGGGGCTATCGCTCTACCAATAGAGCTAATCAGGAAGCTAAAGCAGTTGGCCACTAAAAATTTTCGAACAACTAAGAAGCTTGTATTTCTGGAAAATCCGCACGGATTTCCTTGTGGCTTCCTGCTACAAAATAGGTGGTTGTCTTCATTCGCTTCTTTAACCCTTCCGCCTCCTTGCGGGTTTTTAGAACTCATTTGCTAGGAATGGTGTATAGGGCCCTGTGTACCTTATCAGAAATCTATCATCAACATAATAAATGAGCATATGTCACAGATATTGTATACATTCCTGTACTGTCAACTCCCATTGAAGAGGAAGAGGGAGACAGTATCCCCAAACAAATGGCTGTGAAGCGAGGGCGAATAGCCGAAAAACCCCGAGTACGTGCAACGAGAGAATGCTAGGGAACGGGAAAGGGATGGAAGGCATACGCCATCGAGCATGTTCCCGTATCGTGTTTGCGACTGTCTGCGGTTTGACGCGAACCTTTCCGCGCTGAGAATTAGCGTCGAAACAACCAAGCGTCGTGTAGCTAAAGCGTAGCAACGACCTACACGCAATAAAAAAAAAAAACGACCCAAACGCAACCAAGTTATTCTTCACAATCGTCAAGTTCTGCTGTTTTAAGGCTCGCGTGGCAAGCTTCGCCAGTTTTTTTTTTTATTATTCAGCTAATACCGATCCCTAATCTGCACATAAATCATCTCAAACTGTGAAGTGTCGAAACGGTCTACTCACGGTTGTATCCAGAACTAGCGTAAACGACCGACTTCATGATGTCCGCTGGCTTGGAGAGCCGTGGCACGTTGTCCCACAGTGGAAGCACGTAGCGCAGCTTCTCCACCCTGCATGGCATATTGGATCATGTGAGTGAATGAGTGAGTGAGTGAGTGAGTGAGTGAGTGAGTGAGTGAGTGAGTGAGTGAGTGAGTGAGTGAGTGAGTGGAGTGCCTAGCACATCACGTGCACATCGTACAATTCAAGGGGAATCGTTTCCAAGGCCTCTTTCCTAGACGGAACCAAATGAATCCAAGAGACAATAACCCAATGGAGAAATACTCATACTTTTCATACAACTGTTACGTCATACTTTTCACACTACGGTTACGTCTTACTTTTCATACATTATTTACGTCATACTTTTCACACTACTGGTAAAATGCAACAAAGTTGCATTTTAACAGTAGTGTGAAAAGTATGAGGTAAATCGAATTTAACAAGAGAGGAACAGTAAGCACCCTCTCCGTGATTTGGATCCGAACCCTCGACCTTCGAATATGAAGATTGTGAGCTCACTATTGTGGGCCCCGTTGTTTTACTAAATCTCTATTGAAATGAAATGTTGAGGGCATTAAAAAGGAGCGCTTATGATGCGCTGGCAAACGTGCCCTTGTTACAGTGGAGACAAGACTAAAAATGGGCTCTGGTTCGTGTTTGCTCTTTCTTTCTTTTTGCTCTATAAAATAACTACAATAATGTTTGAGCTTTCCTTCCTATTTGAGGGACATTTTTTTTCAATCGTCGTTAAATATATTCTCAAGAATGAGAGAATTCAATACGTTCCCGCTTTTTTTGGGGGGGGGGGGGGGGGGGGCTTCTTTGGTAATGAGTATTCGCTTATTTTTTCGGCACCATCTGACAACACTGTAACCCACGTACACGCCCCCGGAAACCCAGAAGTGAAAGGCAGACCGTTTACAGAAATGTATTGCTTCATTTTATTTTCGGTGCCGGCCAGCCTGGCGTGGGAGGGAGGAAGACAAAGCGTTCTGCTGCGCGAAAGCTCTTCCCCTCCCCCTTGGGGCAGAACCCTGCCATAGCTTATCGTTCTGCATGAGCTAGTTTGACAGCACCGTACTCACAGGTCCTGAAGGCAGGGGAACTTTGAGCCGGCGACGCTACGCAGGGCGCTGCTGACGTAGGAGACGAGGTGGTCACTGGGTTCGTCGATCAGGCTTCGCGCCATGTGGCGCAGAATGAAGAGGTCCGGATTGCTCAGGATGATGTTGACGAAGGCCGACGCGCGCACAACGTGGGGCTCGCTCGTGTTGTCGTAGATGGGCAGCACGATTGAACGAACCTGCAAAAGCCGGGAATCACCGCTTTAAGAGGACTCAAACTTGGGCTGGTTTGTTGAACTTCGCGCTGAACTGCAGTGCAGCCACACACAAACATACTCTGAGCGAATGATAAAGAAAGTTGAAGTCCGCTGTGCTTTCTTGTTTTAGATTCGGAGCATCTTATACTCGCGCCTTGTAGTGCGCCGTCCGCGCCGTCCGCACCGCTTCTCGAACATTCGACAGCTGACGCGCGCGCATGCGCCGTCGCGCCGTCGCCCACTCTTCCACCATCTGTGCATCCCTTCCTCCTCTACACACCGCGCGCGCTTCACTCCTCCACCATCTGTGCACCCTTCCTCCTCTACACACCGCGTTCGACATCTACAATTCTCCTGATTCTCCAGTGGACGCGCATGTGGCGTCGCGCTTCAAGAACATTCAACAGCTGACAGTGCATGCGCCGTCGTGCTGTATATATACTCAAGGTCGGCGCTCGCTCGCTCAGTTGCCGCTCGTCGGTTGGTTTGTACGGCGCGTCGACGTCCAAGGTCGCGGTGAAATGAATTCCAACGAATCCACAAACACAATGATCGACGTCCCTTCGACAAGCGCCGCCCTTTCGCATACGTGTGTACGTGTTCACTCATTTAACACCCCCTCCTACAACCACGTTAACCAATTTAGCCATCGACCCAAGTAAGTCGCAATTTAACACCCCATTTCACAACCACGTTAACCAATTTAGCCATCGACCCAAGTAAGTCGCACTTTAACACCCCGTTAACCAATTATATGGTCCGCATCCTCCTCAGTGTTCCCCCGAGGGAAGCTGCGGGCAATTTTTTTTTTCTGTCTATGTGTAGTTCTACTGCCGAAATTTCCGGAGCCCTCCACTGCGGCGTCTCTCATAATCATATGGTGGTTTTGAGACGTTAAACTCCACAAATCAATCAATCAGTTCTACTGCCGGTACATCATATATCGTTGCTTTACTGCATTTATCAGTCGTTTATTTTTTTTTACAGCAAGGTCCTCTTTTTTCGATTTATTTTGCTACCATATGCTGTTTCAGTAGGGGCCGGAAGAGCCGGTATTGTCAGAACGAAAGCCTCCGTGATCAAAACGTGTTTCGCGACTCTTCCGCTAGGGTGAAAACGCGTACGCCGTGTCATCGGGCAAAATACGAATTATAAAAAAAAATATGTGGTGGCGCGAAATGGCTCTTTCTTTCTTGAACGTGGATTGCATTAAGACGTGTGCAGATGGCAGTGTCCCTTTTCAAGCAATAAACTGACACGTGTGTAACTAAATTTCTAGTGTCCTTTGTTTACTGCTGTTTGTGACGAACCACTTGTAAAGGAAGCTCAACAGGGTATTCTAAATAGCCTTGCCTTCTGTTGAACTAAAAGCGGGTAACTAGTTAAGCTGTGAGGTAGCGTCATTTTACGCAGCGGAAGCGTCAGAGCCCCCACAAGTCTTGAATCATTGCATAACTGATGGCCTCCATGAATGTAATAGCACGTCTTGTGACGAGTAAGGATAAAATCTCTAGCTCAGCCTTTACGTTTCAATCTTCCTGTCTACGATAGTTCAGTTACGTCAGAATTTTTTAGCACAGTAAACTTTTACCGTTCTGCTCAACAGCTGCGAATCTAACGAGGTGTTCATGTTATACTTAAAGGGACCCTGAAATGGTTCGGACGATTTATTAAACACATTGGGCCGATAGACCAAGTTCCAAGGGTAATTTAGAGACTAATTTGAGCTCTCTGCGTAAACTGTGTAACTTACTACAATGCTTTACAGCTGCGAATCGCTCCAGATCGCCGCAGATCGCTGCGACTCAGCCAAATGCATTTTCAACCCTCCCTACACCAAGCGACACGCTCTGCCCCACTGACGTCATTCTTTCCAGCTGATCTGATTGGCTGTAGAACGCGCAGCATAGACTGCTGGTATTGGATCGGCGGCGGGATTTACGCGTATGCAGTTTCATGACACATCGTGACGCAGGTGCCGTGAAGGCGGAGCTTAGCCCAGAGTGCTCGAAGGAAGAGTTGAGGGCAGTTGTGGGCAAAAAGCGGAGCGGAGAAGGAGGGTACTTTTTTAGTACTCGTAGCTACGTTAATAATGAGTGTTTCGATTGAACTCTGGTGCCAATGATTTGCTCCAGTAGTGGTGTAATCAAAAACGGGATGTGAGAAAACCGTTTCAGGGACCCTTTAAGTATAACGCTGTTATGATTTTCATATGTCCCGAATAGTGACCGCAATTAATGGCATATTGTTTCAACCATTTGTGCGCATATTTGATTGCTAAAGTAACAGGGACAGCTGGGCGAGTTGTTTCCGGCGCTTTTCTGAAAACATGAGTTTGACTGCTAAGGTTTATTTTGCTTTAGACTAGTTATTAATGCATTTAACATGGAACATAACTTCTTTCGATACAGCGACTTCATGATGTTGTATAATTGACGAATTGTGTAACATTGTATAGTACCGTGCGATTGTGTGAATCTTATGGTGAAATCGCATTTGCCTGAACTACCGAAAAGAAGTTGAGCTTTCGTCGGGTGAGTTGTCACAACTCCGTGTTCCTCGGTCTCCAGTACACACGACCGGCCTGGCCACGTGAAGGCATGAGACTTGAGGGGGAAGAGGGGGGTTCAAACACCTCCTAGTTCTTTTTAAATTTTCATTTGCTTTATTCAAACATTACGTGCCTACGAAGACATTTACATGTTGCACAGTTTAAACCCCTTACCCCTTCAACATTGCTTAAAAAAAAGAAAATTTAAGAACGCCGGCAGTGCACGTGACGAACCGAATGGAGTTCTTGTATTTAGAACGTCGTTAAAGGCTACCGTATGGATAGCTTGCCTGTGACGTCATCGTTGCACCTTCATAACGTAATAGTTCGCCAGCACGGCGGCCTTGATGACGTAACGGCAGCACAATCGCATAGTGTGGCCTGCGTCAATATGATAGTGACGCGTCCAGAATTTTATTGGCCTCTGTGCGTTACCATGGGACGTCCCAGAACATTACCATGGGACGTCCAAGACCTTGCGTGTGACATGTGGTGCACCAATACGCTGGTTTTAGTGACGTCAGTGCAAGCCACCTATAGTTAGCCGTAGGCGCACACTCACGAGACTCGGGTTCAGTGGCGCCGTCCGCGTCAGAGCCCACAGGGCGGCGACTCTGCGGGTGATGGGCTGGTTGCCTCGCGGGTCGGCGAAGCGCTGCAGATAGCGCACGGCGCCCGACGTGGCCAGGTTTCCGGCCGCGTTGATGTAGTAAGACACCCGCTGCTCAGACCTGGACCTCACTTCCTCCGGCGTCACAGAGTACTGCAGGCGAGACGGCGCAAAGGAGACGCTTGTAGCAAAATGGCAGCGGCATACACACTTTGTACTAGCGCTATTCCCCGTATTACCAAATAGAAAAAGAAAAGAAAATCGAAATCGAGGGGCGAAAAAAAAAACGAGGGAGCAAAATATGGCACTGTTCTACTATCTCTGAGACCAGTTATCTGGAAGAAAGCGGTACAATGGTTGCAAAACTTCCCGTGCCGAAAACCTGCACATACATTTGGTACAACTACAATTTCCCGTCGTATAAAAACTAATAACATACCAATGACTACATCGACAAAAAAAAATCCTGCCAATGTTCGCATCTGTCGCAACGTTTGAATTAAAGGTAAAGAAACGAATTTAAACTTAGCGTCGGTCTTAGCTCACGCAAAAAGAGTTTGCGCCCGTTTTCCTTCAATGCCAGACACTCACGTTGAAGAAGAGCTCGACGATGTGTGGCGAGCACAGCCCGGAGTCAGCCTCGAGCAGATTGGTGGCCCGGTTGCACCTGGCGCCACCTGCCAGCGAACTCACCGCCAGGATGCACGTGGAACGCAGCGACTCGCTCGCAGTCACGAACTCCGAGTGGCACACGTTCTGACGAAATAGAAAAGTTGGGCACTCTTATTATCACTCTATGGGTGCTCTAGTTTAATTCTATGGGCGCTCTATTATCACTCTATCATGGTTGATAAGACAAATTGTAAGTTATGACCACTTATTCCACTATGCCCTCTTAATTTATTTATTTATTTATTTATTTTCATACCTCAAGGGCCTCCTAGAAGGAGGCATTACATGAGGGGTGGTACAAGTGACAGACTAGAACAAAAAACGAGGGTAGGGGTGAGGGGGAGGTGTGCTACCAACAGAACTATATACAAGACCGTTACAACAATAAACGAGTGAAGAAGCATAAAAGAAACTACATGGCCGGACACGCTACATGTTTTACATTGGGACCAATCAGAGTTTAAACAGCTTGGATAACCGCGCTTTACAGCAGTACAATGGTGCAAACATACAAGTCAGAATGCAAACAACGGCAATGAGCTAGGTAGCTATAAATTTGGTAAAAACAGAAAACTATATGATGTCTGAAGGCAACGCTCCATTACTTCGCCTGCACTGACAACAATGAAAGTCAGAAAAACGGGAACCATAAAAACGACACGAGGATATTTTCGATGCAGGCGGACATGAGGGCTGCACTCCATCAATATATGGAGTGCAGCCAGTCCTCGCATAACGTGCGCATAACGAGAGTGGCACAAGTATTTTGGTGTTCTTGCTTTTAACTTTGTTTGTAGAAATAATAATGGGTGAATTTAGAAAAAAAGGTTGCCGAAACCTGCGCATAATGATAGTGATGTTTTCATCTCGCATATTTATTTCCTTCCAGGATTGCTTCTTCCGTGCACAACTAGACCGAAGAAGAGTTGCCCGCAAGGTATGTTCTTTTTCGTTAGAGCTGTAGAAAACTAGAATACTTTATACGAATCATGCGCCAGCAACTATTCGGAACTCTATAACACGTGGATTTATTGAAGCGGCTCACACTCGCAAATGCAGGCTCTCAGTGGCCTGCACGCATTATAAGTGCACGCGTTCACACGCTCGTATACGCATATGTGCTTCCTTTGATTGCATGCTGTTAAGATATTGGAATCTAGCGTACTTACGGCTAGCTCGCTCACGACTGCCACACTAAATTCCTTGAGATTGTTAGACAGCTTCAGCAGCAAGCGGTCGGCTTCGTCCGTGCTGAGCTGGCCGGCGTTGATGAGCTTCAAAGCGAAGGAGATGTGGGGATTGTTTCCTGCGGCTGCCAGTAGGTCGAGGAATGCATTCCTGCGTGGAGAAAGTCAAAACGTCCTACAAGCGGCAATCCGAATTGTAAAGCAAGAAAAGGCAACTTAAAAAAAAATGCTATGCTTAAACATACAGGATCACTGTTTGTCTTTATTAAATTTTTTTTTGCGTGGTCTAGATGAACAAAGGCTATGCAACACTCAATTGTCGTGCTGGTTTTTTTCTTTCGCTATAGTTCAAGATGCTCAACTTGTTTTCCTCCATGCCTAATCTCTTGAAGGGAATGTGGGCGAACTATATCAAACTGATACGCGATACTAAATCTGTTGATTGTCCTGCTCACTAATTGCTCACCCATTTAAGACTAAATTGTCATGGAAGTGCTTAACAGCGTCTCTACGACAGCAATGATTGACAAGTGTACTTACTGCAGATGCGAAATGGGCCTACCGGTACATTGTAGCGATGAATATCGTCAAGGCACAATGCGAAAACACGACCGAAAGAGCACCACTACTAAACAGCCTTTACTAAGGCGAAAGCCTGGCATGCCTCGTCGAACGAGAAAAGCGACCGTCGACGTCGGCATCAACACAATTGTTGTAAAAGGTCGTCATCCCGTGATGATGTCGCCATATTGTTAGGTGAAGATACGCAGGTGGAAAGCTGTAGACAAATGTATGTCCAGGAGAGTACTCGGGTACTTCACCCGAAAACAGCGGCACAGAGCAGCCTCCAAATCGTCATCCTTTCCCACGTAGCTGTCCTTTAATGGCTGTCCTTGGCATTATACCGTCAGCGGTAAAAGCACCATCCCGGAGCTTTTAAAATCACAGTTCAGGTACACTGGAGTACGCCTTCCGTCTACTGATGATATGGCGTCCTAATGACGTAAAACATTGCCAAAGTTGGTGACGTCATCACGTCACCATGATTTCACGTGATGACGTCATCGTCGCTGTCAAACGTGTGCTTATCACGGAGGCTGTTCAAAACAGCATTAGGTGCAAAGAGCTTTCAGAGCGGGGCAGTGGTGGGGTATCACTACATCGAGTAAAACGAAAAAAGAAGACATATTTCGCCTTCGAGTCGTTTTACGCTAATACATAGGGGACTTTGGGTTTTTCCAGAAAACAACAGCTAATATGTATATAAGTGACCCCACGTGACAGCACAAATCTCCTTCTTCGCGGGATGTCAATCTCCTTGTCATACAGCAGCAACAAAACAGTCTGCCGGCCAAGACCTAAAATCCGATCTACCTCCTGAACTTCGCGCTTGAGCCGGCAACCATCATCCGGAAGAACAGCGCAGGTGTCAAAAGGAGGCTAGCAAACTTCATGGAGTGATGCTAAAGGCGCGGGATATTTGAATTTTCGACACCTAATTCAGTTTAACTGATGCTAGGGGTCTTTAAAGAGATTAAGCGACGATAATAATAATAATAATAATAATAATAATAATAATAATAATAATAATAATAATAATAATAATAATAATAATAATAATTGTTGGGTTTTAACGCTTCAAAACCACGATATAACTACGAGAAAAGTGGAGGACCCTGGAAATTTAGACTATATATACGTGAGGTTCTTTGAGGGTCACCTAAATCTGAGCCCACGCGCCTCGAGCATGGCCGCCTGCATCTAAAATGCGGCCGGGATTCGATCACGTGACCTACGGGTCAGCAGTTGAGTGCCACTGGACTACCGTGGCGGATATACGCAAATAAACGATGGCGATTGCGATGAAACAAACCTGACGTGCTTCTTGGCCCCGTTGGGTGCGTTGAGAACGTGCTGGTTGTAGATGTCGGATATCTCGTCGTACGTCAGGGTGAGCATGTTCGAGAACAGCTGCAAGAAGAGCATGCTGGCGCTCGGCCTGTCACGCATGTTCTTGAAGTCCTCGTCGCTGTACTCGACGGCTGCCAGTCTCTTCAAGCCCTCGATGAACTGTTGCAAGTGGGGCAAGAAAGAGGTCAAGAAATGATATTTCCTTTGGTCACATTCGGCAGGTTCATTACACAGATCCTAAGCAACTTTAGCTTATAGGTTCGTTTTGTAAGGCGTAGTATTGTTCGACGAGTCTATAGAAAACCTCCATGTGTCGTCAAATGGACACCCCTGTTTAAAGAACTCGAATTGAACACTCACAAAAGAAAATAAAAAAGACACAACGCAAGGCGTTAAGAAAGGGACAGAAAACGAAGAATATTAGTCTCTGCGCATTGGTTAAGGCAACAAACGTATGTGTACGTATTTGATATAGGTGCAAGTTTTTGTTAATGTTTTTTTTTTAGAGATACTGCCAACTTTTTCCAGGGGGTCACTGCAAACACGTGGTGTCTTCATTGTTGTTGCAATGCGATCACCACTTGTTCGTAATTGCAAAAACAAAAAACAAAAACATGCAAACACCGCGTGTATCTTTTGATATTATTGACGGTTCGCGTTCAGAGAGGTTCAGATTGATATTTTTTTTCTTATGCAGAGATGCAATACTGTGAGCAAAAATGACTATGAATGCTACAGGCACAACTTGAGAAGATTTCTAATATCTTCAGTGTTGCTCCGAGACTGCTATATTTTGGGCGGACAAAGTATTTTTTCCAATATAATTTTTAAAAAGATCATATGTGACATTTTTTTTCCACTGATTGTTCAGAAAGTAGTCAGGAAAAAATGAATGTCGGTACGACGACGTCTGTTTCTGCCGGGTGTGAGCTTCCTCTACGAGATTGATTGATTGATATTTGGGGTTACATATGAACATGAAAGACGCTGTAGGGGAGGGCTCCGAAAATCTCGACCACTCGGGGTTCTTTAACGTTACTCAAATCTCCATGAGCACACGGGCCTACAGCATTTTCGCCTCCATTGAAAACGCAGCCGCTGCAGCCGAAATCAACCCCGCTACCCGCGGGTCAGCAGCCGAGTACCTTAGCCACTAGACTACGCGGCGGGGTCCCCTATGAGACACGGAAACGTTTTTTGCCTGAATCCGTTCGCTTGAGCTGGACATGGTGGCTATTCTTGTAGATAGCAATATAAGAAGCACAGCGTGTCATTGATGGTGCGCGATGCATCGTGCTTAACCTCGTTATTTTGTGGTCCAGCGCGCTTTTCCTCCAAATCACCCGACTTCAATAAAACAAACATCTTTAACCCTAGACAGATCAAAGTACCAAGGAGGTTTTTGCACACGTATTCGTTGGTGTGATCTTTCGTCCAGTGGGTTGGTATATCCTTGAAGAAACTCTCAAGGTGTTGGTGCTGCTGCATGCGGCAGCTGCCACCGCATAATCCTATATTAGGCAAACCACAGTGCAGAAATATGAAGACTGTATGGTTCAGGCATGTGAAACATGGAAACCTTGCGCATGCTTGGTAGTTCGTACCAATGCCTCGTGCGTGTTGTGCCTGTGGAATCCTTGCTTTAAAAAATAAATAGCTCTTTTGCACACATGTTGGATGGAGTCGTAGGTACACACAGGGCGTCGTCAAGTGGGAGGCCCACGGGATGGCTTCATGCTCTCCCATAGTAGAGTACCTAGTGCTCTAAATCGTTACCCACTTTTTCTAAACACACAGTCGTGGTGCTGAGCAGGTTAAAGTTATTAGAGAGTTTTAGTACTGCGTCCGCTGCGTACGTGGCGGCGTTGCGTACGTAAGGACGCCACGTTCTGCCTAGTGCGCATGCGCAGACCGCAACGCACACGTATCGCGTTACGTACGCAGCCGCTACGTACGCACGCATGAGATGCGTGCGTGCGTACGTATGAGGTGATCGCGCCGCTCTCGAACAAGTTCGCGACAGCGCGGGACTTCGTTTTGCAAAATGGCGGCATCGAAGGCAAGCACCACCACCAACCGGCTCTGTGGCTTAAGATATGGCCATAATCTGGCTATAACACTTGGATTGGCTCACATTGGCTGTCAACAACACGTGCTTCTATTTTGATCTACCAGATGGCGCAACACGCTTCGTGCTCGTTGCGTACGCAGGTACTACGGCGTACTAAAAGCCGATTAGTGGCAAAGGACGCCACGTAACGCAAGGTGCTTGCGTGATGCGTACGTAGCACCATTCCGCAGTACTAAAACTCTTTGTTTTCCCGCCCGTTATCCGCAATAATCGCCACTCAGGTCTTACGGTTTCTCTGCTTCCGGTGAGTCCGAAATCGTGAACGTAGTGGTTCGGTGCGTGCAGATCCAGGCCCGTGACTGCGTCCTCCGCCTTGGGAAAAGCGTGCGACAGCCGCTGGTAGCTTTCGACCTCGGGCAGCGCTGTCTCTGCAGCATTGTCGTTTTCCTCGACAAGCGTAGCCGTGTTGCTGCGAAGAAATCGCTTTCGTTATTAAGGCGACAGCCTTAGATGCACAGGCGTGCGAAGGGTTCTCCCTCGGAGGGGAAGGGGGCAAATTGACCTCGACATCCCCCTCCCTAATAAGTCAATTTAGGGGGTAGTCCTTGCGCCACCTCTCAGGTGGCCAGGAACTCTCTCCTTCCCCTCCCTGTGAGCGCGCCTATGCTTAGATACACCCACAATGGTTGTTTGGGAATGTTGGTACAACATATTGGAGGGAAACAGGAAGAAATATGCAAGACCATGGCAAAGGAGGACACACGCAGCAACGCTGACTTGCGACAAATGTTTATTTGTCCAACCATACATTATAATCCTGCGCAGTTGAAGCGAAAATAACAGTAGAAGAAGAGTGAAATAGGAATATCATAAAAAAATTGGCAGGTCCGACGTACAGGTGATGGTAACGTTGATCCTCGAAATGTGTTAGCGGGCCTATTTTATATCTAGTGGTGTATGTACGACAACACGTGATATCACGAAGCTGACGACCCGAACTCACACGCTTAATTATTACACCTTCGTTGCCCGATGGTTTCCTCGACGCGGAGCTGGTTGATTCTATTTATTCATTAATATTACTCTTTTATATAGATTTTTCATCACCACGGGATTCCGCATGTCCACACTTATCACTGTTCTCTTTTGAAACGACTGACACGGAGGAGACGCTATGCACGTATACAGTCTCGTACTCGGCGTATAATCGGTACGCAATCTCCTTGGGATGTACACGTGTCACCAGGGCTGGTGATCGAGCACCGTTAGTACTTAGCTTACGCCATCTCGTAGCCATGGCAGACGCGCGTTAACGCGGTCGTTGGCATGAGGTGTCCGAGGTGTCCCAGGTGTGCGTCCGGTAAGAGCGCCCACTCGCCGTCTGAAAGAGATTCCCAACTTAAGTTGCAGTTCGACGCCATGCATACTGGCAATGGCGCGAGCTGGCTCTCGGATTTAGGGAGTCATCCCCCCGTCGCTTCAGAATACGTGTGTACCTCGCGCATTGTATGTAAACGTTGCGTACGCGGGCTCGTCGCATTTCGCATGGTGTGCCTGGGCAGCACTCCTGCCTAAGCGCCCTATACCGAGTGTGGCGTACAGATGCTAGCGTACATTAGACAGTAGTGCTTGGGAGCGATACAAACGAGGCTGTCTGGTGATTGGCGCTTAAAGCCATGGGATCCAAGCGTGAATGCTCGTGTCTCGGTATGCCGCTGGTGTACAATAGCAAGTCTCCTTTTCCACCAATTCAGAGAACGAAAAAGAACCTTTAATCTTCCTATTCAGGGAAATAATTTTTTTAGTCGTGGTTTTTGGCGGCAAAGAGCAATTGTTCGCTGTTGTGGACGATAGATAGAGGTTGTTTTATTCTTGTCTTGCTTTTTTTTCTTCCTGGAGACAAACATGTATTTGTGGTTCCCTCGCAATACAATTTCACTTGAAAGTAGCGCTGTGTTCTTCGGTCGTTCTTACGTAGTTGCCTTTAGCCCTTACAAAAGCGGTGTTTTTATCACGTTGATTGCGTGCGCAATGAGCGTGCTTGTGTTTTTTTTTTCATGATGGTGTTGTCTCATTTATTTTTTACTGTCCTTTTTGTTTCTTTTCGTTTTAAATTCGCAGATGTATAATGCGTGTTTTAACGAATAAATTTTTGTTGTAAGTCAGCGCTGTTGTATGTGTCCTTCCTCCTTTGCCAGGTCTTCCGTCTTTCGCGCTGCTTCCTTCCGAAAAACTTGGATTCACACCTATGCCTAGATGCCTCCCCGCTCGCGAAAAGCTAGCGTGCGGCGCCAGCACGAGCGATGCGAAAATCACCATCGCATGATCGCGTCACCATATAACGTCATCATTACGTGACACGTCGCCGGAATTTGTGACGTCATTATGCCACACACCGTGACGTCATGGGATGATGACATTGCGTGTCGCTTGTTCAGGAGGGGGTGGGGGGATCCTGGAGGCCCTGCAGGAACTTTGTGTGCAGGAAGCTCTTCGGAAAGAGGGGCGGAGGTATCAATACAATCGATTAATAAGGAGAAAGAATAAAACGAATTTCGTTTTCGAAGCGTTTTATTCGAATGCATACAGGAACATTTCTTTTGTTTCATCGATCGTCGCAGTGCCCCTTCGAATGGATGTACTTTTTTTTTCGCGTGTAACACGTGCCATCTTTATATGCAAGCGTCTGAGTGTACCTTTCGAATTACCTTGAGCAGCCCTGTAATGAGGGCTGACACCAATGCCTGATATGAACACACTTTACGAACCACTTTTCCAGTCCCGAGGCTTTCATACGCGACAAACTGGCGAAGCCTATGCTTCTCGAGTACGAAGGAAGTTGTAGCATTTCAGAATGTTCCTGACCTCAATGTAAAAACTGATTTTGGATACCGTTTACGGGTTGGCTCTGTTCGAATTTCTTACTTGCACCGTAGGCGTGTGCACAGGATGAAGGCGTGGGAGAGGGCAGCCAGGCTCCCGCTAATACCTTGCCATTACAGCATTCTGATCAAAAGGGCCTGTGTGGGACGAGGTTGGAAAGAGAGGTTTGAGTGAGGTGGGGGTGGCTGTGGTCGTATTCATCCTTCCCCCTCCCCAACGGAGAACCCTGGGATGCCTGACATCTACATTTAAATTACGTTGACAAATACTCCCTTTTTTTCTTGGATACAATACGTCCCTGTCATTCCTCTTCTCCTCTTACTCCTCCTCCTCCTATTGGTATTTGTTCTAGTGGCTATGGCTATGAATAGACGATACCATTTGTTTCGGTAGGTAAACTGTGCGTCTATTCTGTTGTATATGGCCACAGTTTCGTTTACCGCTCTGTCCGTCTTCGTCTTGAGCAGCTCTTTCTTCTGAGCCGCCTCTCAAGCCTCTCCTGATTCGATGAAAAACCCTACATTCATGCGCGTTCCATCGTTTCCTCGTGCTCAAGCGAATGATGCGGTAAAAAAAATTAACAAATTCGCAAGCAACGGCAACAAACAACGCCGGTTCTATTCAGTCTCAGCTTTCCACAATAAAACTGACATGCCCATAGTGTAGCTGTGTAATAAGCTTGGCATTGTTGCTACCACTGCTCCTCCTGATGCTTTTAGCACGAACGGCCACGCCAGGCAATACTTTGGCCGAAACACATACGTATTTCAAATAACATTCAAACACTGCCCAATATGCGCTCTAATTTCACCGTCTGTGTCACTTCTTACTTGATTTGCACGTGGAATTTCTTGCCATCTCCGTAAGGCGCGAGCAGGTGGTCGGATGTTCCACAAGCACAACCGATGACGTATCGCTCTCTTGTGCCCTTCAGGCGGTACTTCACCTCTGACGTCGTTGTGAGCGGCAACTGCAGAGAGGCATGTTTAAACTGCATAATCCGCGCACACGTGAACAGACACCACAAGGACGATAACGCAAACGAATGCGCCTACGCGCGGCTACAGTGTATTGCAAAAAAAGCAGACACTTTCATATCACTCGTCACATGACCTGGCTAGAGAAACAGCAAAATATACACTTGGCATACATGTGCCTCAGGTCAGACCTTCGGGCTGCATGCTGGTTAGACATGAAAATTCGTTATCAATGTGATGGAGGGTGCGCTTACGCCTTTTCCCCTACTTCTCCTAATGTAACCAAATATTCAACAGAAACATGAACTCATACCAACTAGCCCAGTTAGCAGTGCTACTTCGAAGAGACAGAGTTCACAGGGAATTAGGGCAGTTGATTGTGCAATGAATGATGCGTGTGAGTGAGTGAATTTTAAATGAAAAGAGGAGAAAAGTGAGCCCCGTAACTGTCTCTCAGGGGGAACACACCTCAACGGTAGCTCACGAGGGGTGTGAGTAAAGGAGGGATTAAAAGTAGATAGATAGATAGATAGATAGATAGATAGATAGATAGATAGATAGATAGATAGATAGATAGATAGATAGATAGATAGATAGATAGATAGATAGATAGATAGATAGATAGATAGATAGATAGATAGATAGATAGATAGATAGATAGATAGATAGATAGATAGATAGATAGATAGATAGATAGATAGATAGATAGATAGATAGATAGATAGATAGATAGATAGATGAAGGAGAGAGCGAGGCGCAGGGACAGCGACATCCATAAGTAAGAAGAAGATAGGAAAGACGGACATGGTCGCAGGAGTCCGAGGACGGGGCACCACCACTCGGCGAGAGCTCTTGTCGGCGTCAGGGGATGGCGAAAGGCGAGCACAGTCGGCCGGAGCTGCGCTGTCGTCGGAGATCGCGGGAGGCACAACCGGTCGGCACGAAATCCAGCGAGCGAGTCCAATGAATGCCGCATTTCGCGTCAACGTTTGGCGTTTCATATATTCGTGAGTTGGGTGCAGTGCTCGTCTCTGTTTCTTGTGCTATTTTAGTCGTCAATCGGATGAACCTGCGCTATTATAGTCGTTAGCTGAATGTAGTGCATACCCATTTCCGAGACTTGCAGTCGGTGCACGGTTTTCCCTTGAGCGTTCCCGTGAAGTGGTACGGTCGCTGTTCACACTTTTCAATGTCCTTGATCTTGGTCACCTCCAGACCTTCGCCTCCCTCGGACAGGACGTAAGTGGTCTGGCATTGACCGTTGAGACCGTCCTGCCGTGGTACGTGCAACAAAGAAAGAAATAAGTCAAAGTTACTTTATTTCATCGAGTCCATATTACCGACACATAACTAACTCGCGTGGAAATCGTAAATAAGGCTGTTTCACTGCATCGTTTTTTTTTTTCGTCGCGAGTTTACGAACGCGTGATTGACGAGGAACCTTCACTGAGAAAGGTGGTGAGCGCACTGTGTCGTTTTCTTTAGTTCCTGACGTTCTTGTGCGTCTGTAATAATGTTACATTATTATTATTATTATTATTATTATTATTATTATTATTATTATTATTATTATTATTATTATATTGTTATTAATTACATGCAAACAAATCAGAACGTGACAAAATATTGGAGGACGATTAAGCTTCGCATTCAAGCGTATAACGTGAAAGCGTATAGTCGGGCCACCTTCGCATCACCTTCTCTATCGGCATTATGAAAGCGGCGAGCGCACGTAGACGGGAAGACGACGAAGACACACAAAATGATTGTGTCGTCACATGCGCTCTGTGTGTCTTCTTGTTCCCGTGTTCGTGTGTGCTCTCATAATATCGCTGTACTACCTATAGCTGCGACCCCGCCTGTGTCTTAGTCGGTGGCCTCTCTTCGTTTTTCGGTTGACACCTCAACCATGTCGCAAGGAAAGAAGTGTCAGTGCGAATATGAAAGTATCCAAGAAGTATCCCGTATACTGCAAGTACAGTTGCAAAGCACCCACTACGCTATGATTCCTTCTTTTGGGAAGCGGCGAAGTACCGAGTATGCGCGTCCGCAAGGAAACGCGCGAACTTACGCAGCTGCTCCTTGTGCTGGTTTTTGCTGACGATTAAGATTGCATATATTTGAGCGTTTTGTAATGGGTGGGTTTTTAAGACCCATCACTCCTTGTGCAATGCACCAGTCTCGACGCGTAAAGCGATTCTACGCTTCTGCCACTCAACATTACACACGCGTTATACTCCTCTCGTCGCATGACATTCGTACAGCATTTTTTTTTTTCACCCTCAATACCAATCATTGGCGTGGCTCTGCGGTCGAGCACCTGCTCGTCACGTCGTAGACCTGGCTTCAAACAGCACTCGGTCACAGTCTTTTTATTGTGTATTTGCATTTTTCTCGAACTTTCGCATATGGACAAAGCTGATTTCCCGCTCACAGTCAACAACGCCCACACCGACGCCTACACCGACGCCCACACCGGCATTTTCGCGAAACGAGCTCTTTAATGCTATCGCGTGGACGGTCATTGAGCAGGGGTACAAGTGCCGCTGAGAAGGGCTTACTCGAGAGAATATTCAATATATTTGAGGATAGGAAAAGAAAACGAAATGAGCATTTATAAATAGGCATCTATGAATAATGCAAGGGCACAGAGTGGGACTATATTAATGAAAAAAATATACCTTATTATTGAAAGCAATAGCGCGAGGAATTGTGGTCAGCTTACAAGAGACCAAACGGTGAGATAGGTGGGAGTCGTATATCTTAGCTCACATATGCCACATTTCTCTACGTAAACTTTACTGTATAGCACCGTATCAAACCCTCTCATCAAAGAAGGTATCTTTAACGTACAGTGCTCATGAGGTCCTGAAATTCCCCCTGCTATTCAGGAGCGTGGTATCAATATCGATTAGCGCCAATCACGATAACTTTAACCGTACGGGCGGTATAAGGCTTGTTCAACTTAGTCCTGTACAACTCTCAGTAACTTTACGTTAATGAGATTCATCCGCTCTGAATTTACGAGCTCATAAGTCCAGTGTAAACTTAAAATAATGTATGCTATCACCCCAGTAGGCTGTTAGTGTGCATCAATCACTGTCGGGTCTGCTCTGATCTCATTTGTGTGACAAAAACTGGCATATTAAGCAAGTTTTTCATTGTTAATTCATTTTTTTTTCGTAGTGTGCTTGAGGGTTATTACATTACATGTAGGATGGTTCAATTTTAACCATACCTGAATTCTTTAGCACACATACCTCAGTCACGACGAACTCGTTTCCCAGTGGGTTAATCTGGCTTCGCTTGGACAGGTCCAGCTGGAACAAGCTGATGATGCCCTTTTTGACGTTGTGGGACCAGATGGGCTCGTCCTTGCCCAGTTCGGCGTGCTGGAACTGCGTAAAGTGGTGCCAGCGTAATGAACAGGCGCGTAGCGCCGATGCCTCCCACCGTCATCGCCAGAAACGTCTTTCGAAGTTTTGTAGAACTTCTACGCGAAAGAGAATCCATCGTAAAAACACCGTAATTTGTATTGAGGGCTATGAAAGCACAGAAATTTTATATATCATTTCTCAGTTTGTCGCTTCGCAGAACAGAGGGCAAAGGAAAGCTTTTCAGCATATGCATTGGTGTGAGGCGCACTGAAAATAAATTGCATGCTAGAAGTGCGCGCGGCGCCCACATTGTTGTTCTGCCCTCCGTTTTGTTCCCTCAGTTCGGTGAAGTAGTGAAATTGGCAATAGGCTTCTGAGCCTGTCTATGTTCAGTGTCACGCAGTGGAAGTGCGCTCATTTCGTGCAATAACAAAACTGAAAACGTTGATTACGGGATCATCCAGTCTTCGAGCGATGCTAGAAATAAACACTTACAAAAAATAGGACAGACGGAGGTAGCAGCCGAGCTGATATCGTTCTTCTCCTCCTCACCTTCACGTGCCTATTCATTTATTTCTGCATTTCTTTCTCTTTTTCGCTCTTTCTATTTTTCTTCCTCGATCTTTCGTTTCATTCTCTCTGTCTCCCTATTTCTCGCTTGCTCTTTCTGTCTCTTTCTCTCGGTCTCTACATCTTTCGTTGATTCTTTTTCTTTCTTCTTTCTCTGCCCGCCTTTCGTTCTCTCTGTTTCTAACTATCTTCCTATAGTATGCTTTATTTTATTTATTTATTTTTCTTTGTTCAAGAATTACTCCGCATCGCCCTTGGGCGTTACAGCAGGGGGGTTTACAACACAGATACAAATATATCTTCATTTACACAACATAGGTCTTTGTTCTTCAAAGAGCTTGTTCCATTCGGCTACACACTTCGGAAAAAAAAGAATTCGCAAACATGGACGTCCTGGGCCGGTAATCATGGATTTTGTGTTTATGCTCATTACGCGTAGACACATAAAAAGTGTATTTAAATAATTATCTTCGTTTATGCCTACCTTGTTATTATATATTCAAAAAAAACTGTTTTAGCCTTAACTTCCGTCTTCGTGAAGACAACGATTCCCTATTCATTTCTTTTTTGCATCATTGCGACGTTCATTCTACGGTACTTGCCTAGTACGTACCTGGCTGCTCTGTTTTCGATAGCTTCTATTTGAGAAATAAGACTGGCTTCCGATGGATCCCATAGTTGGCGGGCGTACTATAATATAGGTCTAACACGTGTAGTAAACGCACTTCGTTTTAATTCAACTTCGCGACATCTTAGCTTTCGTTGAACAAAGTTCAGTGCCCGTCCAGCCTTACCAACTGTCTCACTGATGTGCTCATTCCATGAGCAGTCAGCAGAAAACACGACGCCTAGGTACTTAGAGACGTTAACTGTGGTATAAGAACCTCCTTATTTATAGAATAGTTGTTTATCATTGGTTTACTCTCTCTTCCTTTCTTTCTTTCTCTCTCGTATCTGTTCTCCTCTCTCAATTCCATTTCCCATACCCGGATATACGTAGCGTGAGCTACGGATGGGCAGACGGACGTACTGACGGACGCACGGACGGACGGACTAGTGAGTGAGCTCACGTGAGCCCACTAGGGACATCTCACTCCGAGAACTTCCAGGTCTTCTCAGGCGCGCCAGCTGAGCGCTGTGTGACGTCACTGCGTTTCGGGCATGCGCAGCACGATTCTCGATAAGCTACGCGAAACAGCTCAACCTCGGCCAGTGTAGCGTTACGCTATGAAAGGGTTACGCTCTTCTCCGCTACACTCTCGCCTGCGGATCGTGTGTACTTGGGCTGGAGTTCCCGCTCACGAGAATTTATCGCTCTTGAATTTATCTCTTCTTTCTGTATTTATTTTTACCGCTGTACGTACTCAGGTTTTTTTTTTTTTTGGCTCGCCACCATCGGTTCGCATTCATTTATCGGCGTAATTATTGCCTCCTTGATTGAGTAGTTGAATTTGCCCAATTTCTGAAGTACATGCGCGTTCGTGATGATGAAGGTTTTCCGGTTACTGTAGACATTTTGCGACTGGTTATAAAAACTTCGCCGTCAATACATCGTCATCGAAACCGCTTTACGTTTAAAATTTTGGGAAGGAGTCGTATGAGAACATAGTTTGAAGCTCATACGTATATTTATTTACTGATATCGTTTATGTTCACTTTGATGCTGTAGTAATGATGTTCAGAAGGGGACTTTGGATTGCGTGGACCAGAGTGCTTGTTCTTGCTTTTTAAAAATATCTATTTTCTTGTGAAGCAATCGTAAATTATGGCCACGATTTCTTGTGAACCAATCGTTTAATATGGCCACTCAATTGCTGTGTCTGGTTCGCGGTCAAGAAAATTACACGGGGTTGAGAGAAAATGTCATATCACGCAAAACGTACGAACGAAGGCAACTTGATACTCAAGACTCAGGTTTAATGATGTTCTGTTCCTTTCACATGAACCTAAAGGTCTTCAAACCATCAGACGCATTGTTGAGACCTATAGCTGTACTGCTGCTGCTGCGTTTCATGAGAATTTATCGCGTTGTTTTCGATGAAGAGAAAGTTGACTTGGTTAATGAGGTAAGTGCGTAAGTAAGTAAGCGTTCCCTGCACGGAGCGATGGAGTGCACGTATACTTTTCTGAATGAATGCGTGCGACGTGCCTTACCCGGCCATCCTTGAAAGCAGCGGCGAAGGGCCGTTCGAGGTAGTTGGTCAGCTGCTCGTGCGGTTGAAAGTTGAAGGTGTGCGTCTTCAGGTCAATTGTTTCGGCGTGAAACGTGTCGACCACGAAGTCTGAAACCTAGTACGATCCACGTGGGTGTAAGAAAAAAAAAAGATATTAGCGGAGCAGGTGTTACGCAGCAGTACAGTAATCACCTAAATGTAATTAAGAGTATGCCTAGTTGAACGCGTGAAATATCAGCTGTTCTTAATTGCTAAGCTTTGACACACGTATGGAAAAGATGAAAAAGCGATATGGAGTCTTTATGATATTATTCTGGGAATAATTAAGAAAATGAACGCGGTTAAACCTTTTCCGTAAGTGAGCAACGTTCTTAAGGCTTTTTTTTATGTTAGCAATTTATCCCCATAGATGTTTAATAATTCTAGACTAATCCTGAAATTCTACACAAAATGTCTGTGGAAGAACCATTGAACACAGCAAGCTGTATCAAATTCGCTTCCTGACTATTGCCTGTATAGAGTCCGCTTTATGGCTTCTTCATTCCCTGTGTCCACCCACAAGGCCATAAGCAAGCTTTCGTCGTCTTCTCTATCAAGTTGTGAGTGATAAGCTTAAAGATACGAGGTAACTAGAAGGTAGAGCCAAACAAAATCTCAGTCTGGGCATGTAATTATTTTCTTAAACCTTTAGTTAGCCAGAAAACCGGTGCTTAGTGTCAGACGTGTTGCTGCATCCTATTGAAAAAGGGGAGGCAACTATGTTATAAACTTTAAATACTGCTGCCGGAGACGCGGCAACCCAGGATGAGACATAAAAGTGAAGAACTGGATTGTGATGTTAAAACAGGGATCAGTATGCTTACGTAACTAAATATGTCTTTTTTATCTTAACGAACTCGAGGAGTCAGCTTTACAAACAGCTCTACAATCATCTATCAAACCTACTAATATAAACTCGTTTTCATAGAATGTAATCATGCTAGAAGTTTCCTTTAGAACCACAACATTCTAGTTGGTCGTGACAACTGACGTTAAAAGTCCTATATTTAGCCTTTTGTTAGAGCTGAAAAGAATATAGCCAAGAATAAAGGTAACGGGTGTATTAAGACAAATAGATCTACAACAAATACACATAGAATCTATGAAGCATAAGTAATCTTATTACGGGTCCAAATATTTTCGTAGAAACGGTTAGAGCAATGCAAAATGCTAATTCGCTGCCTAACTGACATGCAACTTCCTGAAAAGCCTGCACTTAGCGCAATTAATTAGAGGCTAAGCTTTTTGGCGTGTGGTTTGTTCCCTTGTAGTAGTAGTATGTTGAAGTAGTAGCCACTTCTAGTTCATTTCCAGAATTGCTCAGTAGATGGCGCTGTGTGCTATGTCCCTGAAGATAATATCACTATATTGCATTAGCGGTTTTCGTATTAAAGTTCACAGCATATCCACGGAGTGAATAATGATGAATGGGCCGAAGAGTCCGCCCCTCTGTCCGTCACAGACAGACAGACGCTTCGCCCCACTCATCATCATTCACTCCGTCGATATGCTGTGACTTTTTTTTTCGGACGTCGAACGTCATCGGGGGGCGTCAAGTGTGCGACGGCAGTCGTGTCACAATATAGTCGTGTCATATAGTCGTGTCATATAGTCGTGTCATATAGTCGTGTCATATAGTCGTGTCATATAGGCATATAGTCGTGTCACAATTAAGGAGGATTAGAAAAAAATTGCTGGAATGGAAATCATTGCCTAGGAGTGAAGCCGTGCCTCTGGCACGATGGCAGCTGCAGCGGCCATATTACGAGGGGCATGATGTAGTATCACCGTTAAGAACAGAGCGTATCCCTCGCACGCCCAATGAGTGCAATGTGGAAATTTTTCGGGTCACACAGTACTCCAAGTGCGTCTTAGTGTTACTAGTTTTCTTTAATTTGCCTCTTATTGGAGGCAAAGTTCTTGGGAAGTTCAGTCACGCATACTCGTTTCTGCGTGTTATTTCGTCGGAAACAACGATCTTTTAAGGTAGAACTAACGTAGCATTTACACTAACATATCGATGTCACTTCATGTATAAGTAGGCCCTATCAGAAAAGAGCGTGTTTCCGCCATCTTGGCAGTGGCAAAAGCTGGCTTCACTTCTGCTGGCAAGGCATTGAGGGAGCTTCCACTCCAGCAATTGTTTTAATCCTCCTTGGACACAATGCACAAATTTTTGAAAGGGCACTTTACAAAGAAGCCCTCTTACCTTGAAATAGGTGAGATCACCTTTAGGCTGCAGAGACACTTTACTGCGGAAGGCGAACCCGTTGGAATGTCGCGGCCGATCGAGGTTGATCGTTTGAATCTTTCCCTCGTAGTTGTACACGTACTCCTTGCCATTCTCGAATCCTGCGAGGGAAGTTTGGCGGGGTAACAGTCGTTTGAATGTCGGTTGTTCTTGTTCTTGTTCGCCTAATAACTGTGACCCACTTTTGCTTCCTTGTTGGTTCGTTGGTTCCTCAACTGTTTTGCGCAACGCACTCAGGGGGATATGCCATAAATCGGACGGTGCCTTGCTTATTAAGCTAATTCACTTCTTGAAGGAAAGAGTTGAATTCATTGCTTGCTTGTCCATTTGTACTGGCACGGCTGGTGTACTAGCTTCTACCCACTATGAATGATTGGCCAAAAGAGCCAGCGGTTCGTCAAAAGAGTATACCCTAGAAACGGTGGCTCATACACACACTTCGGGATTGGCCATGAACTGGTTAGGAAATTTTGGAATTAAACTTCATACTTTGAATACATAAAACAGAAGTGTAAATGAATAAATATGAAGATTAGAATAGAAAGTAGCATACATTTAAAGCTATGAATCCGAGAATATGGAGGAGTGATTGAAGTAAATGTAAACGTAAAGACGAAGCCGGGGCTATAGAAACGTTCACGTTTTTAGAGATAGAAAATTGTAGTCATAGTCATACGAAAAAAATACTACAGTAAAGGAAATCTTTTATTAATAAATGTAGCTTATGATACTGTTGGTTTTCTTAAGTACCGCCAATTGATGCTGTAATGCTGACCAGGCCCGTATCAAGAGGAGAAAGAGAGGGGGGGGGGGTATACGGGTTCTTCAAAGACTTCAACAGATGTGCTACGCCGCCCCCCCCCCCCCCCCCCCCCCACTCGAAAGAAATTCCTGGCTGCGGGACTCATATGTATCAATGCAATAACATGGCATCCTCCCTGATTCACCCAGAAATTCTGAGAAGGCCCGGCAGATGTCCTTTTTACTATGGTGGAACGCCGATACCCCGTGAAAAAATATTCTGAGAACATAATGGAATTTCTAGACTGTGATGAAAATTTCGAAGTACCTTTTCCTTTGATTTTTTGAAACGGCGACAGTTTAGTAGAAAATGGTCGATGTTTGCAAGTTTGTTATAGTTAGGACATAATGGGGATGGCCCCATGCCAGACCTGTTTACATGAAAGTTAAGCGGAGTAATATGGCGTCGTAATTTTGTGATGCATATTTCCTGATGATTGGTGGGCCCATGCTAACGGGATGGGGGGAGGGGGGGGGGGTCTGTTTTAGCTTTGCATTCTAGTCTATAGGTGTAAAGCCTCGCAAGTGGCGACGCGACATCACTCAATCTCTTCGCTGCATTGTGCTCTGCACTGCAGCAGTCAACTATAGAACAAATCATGTCCTAGCTATCGTCTGTTAAAATGTCCCAACTTTACCGAAAATTTCTGTCATCGAAAAATTTTCGTAATTCTGCGTAATCTTACCACATTGTCGGCTACCTTAAGAAAATTTGAGGCCGAATTCACAAAGGTCCTCTTTCATGAGTGCTCTCTGCGACCAGCTATACTCGGCTTCGCTGATGATACTTCCTGTATTATGATTGGCTGAAATTTTCTAGTGAGAGCATTTTTTTTTGTGTGTGTATAGGGCGTTTCTGTGAATTTGGACCCGGCTACTATATAAGACAAATGAACAGGCGAGTTGCAGGCAAGTGCCTTTCTACGCTTTGTGGGCTGGGGTTTGACTGGTTGATATGTGGGGTTTAACGTCCCAAAACCACCATATGATTATGAGAGACGCCGTAGTGGAGGGCTCCGGAAATTTCGACCACCTGGGGTTCTTTAACGTGCACCCAAATCTGAGCTCACGGGCCTACAACATTTCCGCCTCCATCGGAAATGCAGCCGCCGCAGCCGGGATACGAACCCGCGACCTGCGGGTTAGCAGCCGAGTACCTTAGCCACTAGACCACCGCGGCGGGGCGGGCTGGGGTTTGAGCTTTCCATATTTCAAATCTAAACATTTGCTTAAATTACGCTTTGTTTCTTCTATCTTCATTGCGTGTAGCTTTTGGCCTTTCAGGTCTAGAGATTTTTCGAGACAAACCAGGAACGTTGGAAACTGATCACGTCACCTAGGGTTCAACATCATAAATGCAACAGCTATAGTTTAGTTATCCACCGCTTGGTGCTGGGATTAAAGAAACAGCGATAAATCTTAACCGCACCCACCTGTCGCGACCTCCGCGCTCAGCAGGAGCGCCACCGCGAAGAAGATCTTCATGACGGGCGAACCCGTCCGACACGCCACAAGGAGAAAAGCCGGTCCTGGTCACCGGAGCCCCCTTAAGTAGCCTTGGCCCTTTCTTAGATGGCCCGCAACGCGGCTGTGAAAGGGACGGCGCAGCTCTGGAGATGATAGCCGCCTCGGCAAGCCGCCTGTGTCTCCGAGGTCCTCAACGTGGCCGTGTGTCCAGCGCAGTTTGTAGACTGTTTGCCGCCGACTTGGTGGTCGAAGCCAGGCGCCCTCCTTTCCCGGCAAGACACGACAGATACTCCTAGTGACCGAAGTTTGTTCTGTGATTCGCTCGTTGCCTCGTCGACAGGGACAGTTTTTTCTAACGGCACGGACGATCCGTTACGAAATGCCTCCTTAAGGAGTGATGCATGTATGGCTGCTGTAACGCCATCACCACCGTATCGTGTGTCCCGATAACGATTATCACGGGGGAAAAACAGTTCGTTTCACCAGAACCAAGTGAGGCACGCGGATGATATGACGCTCCAGTGACCATTGCATGCTCTGGAGTAATGAACAGTCAGCAGAGCGTGGGCCTTCTGACGTAAACGATGGGCTCAAAACGCAGACCTTGTTGTGTCTAGGGATCAGTGGTTTGTCTCTCTTTTTTTTTTTGGCTGGCCTTGCATCGCATTGACGTGGTACAACTCTACAAGCGTGAGATGTCCTTGTTGCACGCCTTGGTGACGTGAACTTTTTGGGGAGATAAAGCGCGCACGAGGTAGCGTTGATGACCTCATTACGCTTCCAGAGTGTCGAAACAACTTGCGAAGAAATGTTGAAAGCTTTGACGCTCGGTTTGTCCGGAACATCTCCACTTTCTTTTTTATGAAGTAAACCTTGCAACATCATAGCATTTCGTCACTTCCGCCTCTCGTTACGACCATAGTTTTCAGCGCTGGACATTATCCGCGGCTTCGTACGAAAGTAGTAAATCTTACTTACCTCAGCATGTACATTTCTGTTAGCTCGCGTTTAAACGTAAGAAGCCGTCCACCGAAATGCGAAACCACAGCAGCGCAGTTTCTTGAAACATGCGGCCAGCCATTGCGTAACGTGCGACTTGAAAGGCCTCCACGACTTGCCTGCCTGAGCAACACAGTTAGCCTAATACAACTTGAAACTGGCTCCTGTGTGGCCCGCGGTGTGTGCCGTGTAAAGTGGCTGTGGCTAGTTCCATCACGCTACTTGAACACCTCTGGGGCAGTGCGTTGTATGAGGGTTAATTACGGAACAGCTCCGAAAACCCACGAGCGCGTTTCTTGTATCGCGTTTTAATCAGGAACTATAAGTTGAAAAAAGTGGGGACAGCACATCTGCTGCTCCGTCTGCAACGCCGGCTGGGACGATTAATTTATTAGCAGTGATTAATTCAATGCCCGATGCAATGCCGAAATTGTGGGACAAGACCGCGAAATAACCACTTTTGTTACCTAAGATGGCGTTTGTCAGTTTAAGGTGTTGAAGCATCTCTAAACCTCATCAATGAAGCCACCTCTAAACCTCATCCTACTAGTTACCCGCCGAAAGCGCACTCGCATTTGCCTGTTTCATAAAATATTTTATCATAATACGAAACTCCGTTCCCGCTTAATCCACTCTGCTCCCTTCATTTCTCTTTGCCGTAACCACCAACAAAAAGTCACAGTCCCCCATTGCAACACAGTAACATATGCCCAATCATATCTCCCAAGAACTTGTAATGAATGGAATTCCCTGCCTGCATCAATAACAAACATCAATGAATTCATTCAATTTAAGAATGTCCTTAAAACAATGATTACCGAATTACCCCCAGTATGTTTTTGAACAGTTTATTTGTATTGCTTTGTGCCTTCACCATGTAATAAAAATAAAATTAGTGTTATCATTTGCTTTATTATGATGTGAGCTGTTAGGAGTATTCATCTTTGTGCCCCAATTAGTGACAATATTTTTATGGCATTTTCTTTGTATTCCTTGTTTTTTTTTCATTGTTGTGCATGCCCTTTCCTTCTGAAATGTACTGTGTGCCCTGAGGGTAAAATAAATAAATAAATAAAAGGTAATGGCCTAATGGCCTCCGGCTTCCGAATGCTCCGACAACCTTTGAGCGTACGATGAATACCCTACTTCTGGCTCTGATGCTGATTAGTGATGCAGATGCGGACGCTTTTATTCTTGTAATAAATGGATACGCTATCTGTTTGCATGGCCCGAGTTCGGGTAGGGCCTCAACGTCTGCCAACGCTTTACATGACCTTTATTCCGCGTCTATTTCCAAGTGGCTGCGATACGTGCATGCAAGGTTGTAGAGGGCTGCTAAAATCTGTCGCAACGTCAGTCAGTACATGCCAGTTAACGTTTAGCAATTTATAGCAGTAGATGTTGGGGTTTCACATCCCAAAACCAGGATATGGTTATGAGGGAGTCCTTTGAGAACTGCGTAAATGTTGACCCACCTGGTATTCTTTCATGTGCTTTCCAGATCTAAGCTAGCGGGATCCACCGAAATGCGGCCGGAGCCTTCCGGTCAGCGTTTAGGAGCTATAGTATCACCCATAAACATGACATCACTCTTATTTGATAGGCGTTTGCGAAAACCCCTCTTTTGCGCTCTTGTGGGCTGAAGGCCTTATCTGGACCTCTCCGGAAAGCCTCTCGCCCGCCTGTCGGGGTACCTTCAGTGCTGTCATCAAGTGTGTCCAGTACCTCTTACATTGCTGCGAATTCCAGCCCATATCAAGTCCCGTTTTTCGTAGAAATCGAAGTGGTATAGGGTGTCCATGCAAAGCAAACTAGAATGGACTTGTACGGTCGGCCAGCGTTACTCGATTGTGCAATCATGGAACGTGTTGTTTCCCCTTTATCAATGGAGGGTCATTTACCGAGCAAATAATGTACGATGTGGAAGGTGGTGATAGGGAGGACGGGAGGACTGGACATGCAGCCCTTCTGCGGCGACCCAGTTAAGCGGTTGCGAATTTGCGCTGGTGCAGTGTTTTTCCCCTCTCCGTGTATTGTCGCGCTGCGTTGAAGTTCCGCACACTGGTGCCCGTGGCTCGTGCGGAATTTTTTTTCGTGAAGCGCTCGCCTCGTCAACTGTGCCTCAATCTGACATACTGTGCCATAGTTGAGGTTTCCTTACCCTTTAATATATTTTTTTCTATTTCCATCCTGCTCTCTTGGTCTTGGAATTAGCGGCGGCATCCCTGATAACATTGCGCACTGCTCTGGGCACTGCAGCTACTCCGTGGCGTGGACGTTGTCGACGGCAACCGTCCGCGTTCCCTTACCACTGCCCGCTTGGGTTACACCCCCCTGGTACTGGCGGTTGACGCGCGATACAGAGCGCTGCCGCGAACTAGCTGATAAGCAAGGATATAACTTTGTTTTCTCTTGATTTTTTTTTTACCCCAGTCAGAAGATGGAGCCAACTCTACGAGTCTGCTTTGCTGCTTTCGGCGGAGAAACGTAGTTATCTTATGCGGCAGCTTCTGGAATTTACTGAGACGGCATATGTCATTTTGTTGCGTTCACTGTCAAATTCCGAACCTTCGTTTGAATTTTTTTTTCAAACAGCTTCCAGAAAACTCCGACCGGCAGCGCTGATCAGTGTTCGGGTAGGTCATGTGGAAATGTCACTCACCAACGTTTTTGTTTTTTTCTGGTTTTCACGAAAAGCAACAGAGTTTCAGTAAGGGAGTTGATGTTTAAACTATTTCATCGATGGGTTTCCGCGCCGCAAGATTAGGCTGTTAACGCAGCCATTTCGTATTTTAGAGAATGGAACCAGGGCTAATGCAAACATGTACCCATAAATGAGGTTCGGTTGGTGCATTCGACAATTATCCATGCCGATTGCGATATTTATTCTATCACTTTTTTTTAATTCTATCTCCCGTTCTTTACTTCTCATTTCATCTTTCATTATATCACCTTCTCTTGTCTCTCTAGTTCTTTCTATCTTTTTTATATTGTTTCTTTTTCTTCCCTTTCTCTCTGGACATTTCTTTATTTCAGCGCTGTGCTTAATGATCTCCACTACTTTCCTTACTCCTCACATCAGAAAAAAAAAAACGCTCGCACAACCAGTTGTAGTGATGTAGTGAACCAGGCAACTTCATTACATTCAGTGTACAACGTTGAAGGTTTGTCCCTTACTTTACGTAACTATTTAGGGGGAAAAACATCGCGTTGTTTTTTCTGTACCGTATGGTTGATTCGGTGTGACTAATGCCTTTTGTGACACAGGTAGGATCGGGCGGGTTCCAGTGCTTCGTTGGACAAGACACCTGCTATTTCGTTGCCACGGACACCAACGTGTAAAAGCACCCCCTTAAATGTTATCTCGATGCCTTTTTTGGTAGGTTCTTTCAGTGATGCTAGCGACTGGCGGCAGAGTTTGTTTGTGGGAGTCCCTTGATAAAGTTGTGGCATTGCCGACTTACAGTTCGAGAGAACTACATCAATTAAATCTTGTTAGGCGGGTCTTCTTCTTCAGCTTGGTGCTCTGGCAATGTTAGGCGTTACAAAATGCCTCTTTTAGTCAACAAGAGGACTGTAAGGAAGCCCACAGAAGCGGCGATCTCCATGAACAATTAAGTTCTGTCAAAAAGGCCCGCGAACGGGCGGAGGAACATGGTCTTCTGGCTCCAACGTGGGTGCGACCCGCAACTACGACTCTGTGGTTGGTTAGGACCTGAATAAAGTTTGTTGACTGACTGACTGAGAGCTGCTATGGACAGACCGAGTGTTTACAAGTGGGCCTCAACAGCTCAAATTGCTAGCTCCTTGGGCTATTCATTCTAGCCGTTTGTTTGCGGCTGTATCCCGAGACCAAGAAAAAGCTGTCATTGGTATCTATTGGCAGTCTGAGGGGGGGGGGGACGCGCTAACAGAAAAAAGCGTTTGGAAGACCTGACGGAGCATCATCATCATCAGCAGCAGCAGCAGCACCAGCAGCCTGACTGCGTCCACTGCAGGACAAAGGCCTCTCCAATGTTCCGCCAGTTAACCCGGTCCTGTGTTTGCTGCTGCCAATTTATACCCGCAGACTTCTTAATCTCATCTACCCACCTAACCTTCTGTCTCCCCCTAACCCGCCTGCCTTCTCTGGGAATCCAGTTAGTTACCCTTAACGACCAGCGGTTATCCTGTCTACGCGCTACATGCCCGGCCCAGGTCCATTTCTTCTTCTTGATTTCAGCTATGATATCCTTAACCCCCGTTTGTTCCCTAATCCACTCTGCACTCTTCTTGTCTCTTAAGGTTACACCTACCATTTTTCTTTCCATTGCTCGCTGCGTCGTCCTCAATTTAAGCTGAACCCTCTTTG